GCTTTTATGTTAATGCCAAAGAAACAAATAAAAATTGGTTGCACTGTGATTTTAAACAAACGAATACAAAATTGCAGCCTAAATATTGAGATACTTTTCCTTCCTCCTTCCCCCCCCGCCCCCCGTAATGGTCTCTGAAACAAGATTTAACTCTGGAGACTTAAATGAAAGTTAATCATTTATGGAAGAAAATAAAGAAAGTAAAAGAGAAATTGATGTTGCCTGAAATCCTTCGTGGTCTGAAGCTAGAGAAGAAGCAGAAACCAAAATGTAACCGCACAGGAATGTGCTTAGATATAAAACCTAGGATGTAACTGTGGGAATGCCTTTAGATACAAAAACTGGAATGCAACTATGTGTTAGTGAAATCTGCAAAAAGCTGGGAATGTCATGCTCAGTGTTTGAGAACTGCAGGCAATTGGCAATGTTTTTCAGAACTATTCTTGTAAAAACTGCTTTTCCTGAGTTTGGGGCCTGATCTAGTCTTTTTAAATTTCTTGTTCTTGGCTTGAACTCATGTGAACTAGAACAGAATTAGCAAGAGACTGTAAAACTGTGGTTCTGTGTACTCTCTCCTCAGTGGTAAAGCTGGCTTAAGAAATCCCTGCTCCAAATAGTACTTCCCTGCCTGTCTCACTTTTTCCAGGAAGAGGTTTTTGTACGAGTGAAATGTATCCAATTTTCCAAAAAGTATTATGGAAAACTTCCTATTACTTTTTTTTTTTTCCCAAGGCGGACTACTACTGGTGAACAGTGTGGCTCCGTAAGTTATGCTGGAATGACTGAAAGAATGAGGCACCCTGTGATGGGAGCAAGGGATGAGAACACAGCTGTTCGTACCAACCTCTGTGTAATGTGAAATCCCAGCCTCGTTGAATAGATTTTTATAGTGTAGCATTCATCGCCAGAAATTAGTACATTCAAGCTCTCAAGGCAATAGCCTGATGAAACAGCAATGTTCATGAACTCTCTGAACAAAGCGTCATCCTTTCTCAGTCTTCTCCTGTTTTTTCAGGTAGCAATAAGCAAGGAAGGAGGTGTCAAAGAAAACATCAGCTCTCAAGCAAAAAAAGTTATGCTTTAGAAATGCTTCATTAAAGCAACTTTTACTGGCAAGTAAAATTTGACTGGCCTGAGAGTTGCAACCAGTCTAGACTAGAGGCAAATGATATAAACAAGTGTGCCATCTGAACTTACGGCTAAGTCAGTTGACTTACGGTAAATGCTATATTTTTCATAATCTCGTTGCAAGGTCATTCATTAAATAGCTGTTGGTTTGTAGGGTTGCAGGTTTGAGCCAGGAGAGTCACCAGAAGAATTACTTAACAAATTTCACTCAGACTTTTAGTTTCTGTCCTTTGTTATTACCTTCAAACATATAGACTATTGGCTATACGAGAATAGAGGAAACCTGTTTCAATGTGACAAACATTAGGATTAATAAAATTTCGTCTCAAATCTTTATTACTAAGCTATATGTGTTACCAGTGATGTAGTTTTTCTTCTTTTTACTGTCAAATTTTCTGCAGTTCTTGTTGTTCTCTAAAATCTATGCTATTTAATAGTTGACATTTAAGTGAAACTGTGATGGCAATAAATGGGTTAAATTAACATGTCCCTGCCCCTTCCCCCCAGTCCCAGAGTATTTTTGTGTAAAGTTTTACAGGAAAACATTTTTTAACCATGCAGGGCCGCTTTAGAAGAAGTAGAAGGAGATGTGACAGAACTGGAACTGAAACTTGACAAGGTAAGCTTTTTAATTCAACAATGTCTGTTCTGAAAAATATAAAAAGATGTGCTTAGGTTTGTTTTAAAGTTCATAGCTGGGAAGTGGTAGTGGCTGCCGACCAAGCATTCTGCTCTTGCAGAGGGAACGGGTCTGGGTCGAGTGCACAGCTGGGCCCCAGAGACCCCTGCTTGAGTAACAGCAGCACCAGCCAGTGTGAACTTGCTTTCTCCCCCAGCTGAGGGTTTGGATTGTGCAATACCCTCCTGCCTGTATGGCCCCCTCGCACTCATGTGACTCAGCCCCACAGTGGGAGCCGCAGGCAAACTAATCCAGCTTTCACGTGAGTTAAAAGCCAGGGGTTGGCCATCCCTGCATTGAGAGCTTATGTTTTATGACTACTATGTTTTATGCATACTGTGAGGACATATGGATACTCTTTGTTTTAGAGATACAAAGTGAATGCTTTCCGTCTTTGGTAGTCTGCAGCACAGTCACAGCAGGATATGTCCTCCACTTTCGTCTGGACGACTTAATTACCGTAAAATTCATCCTGCTTTTTGTCATGCTTTGCGCATGTATACAAAAGGTTGTGTGTAGCATCTTTTCAGTGCCTTACAATCCATTTATTGGTTTCTTAACCAGTAGTATTTGGAAGCTTTTGTTCTTTCTTTGCTAGTATTTTAAGGGTGGCTTATTTTTGTTTTACGTCTGTGGAGAGTCTTCTTTCCTTAGCATTTTATGCTAAATGTTTACAATTATTTTCTGCCTGTGTTTTAATGTGGTAGGCAGATGTCATTTGTTCACCTCCTTAACTACTTCTTGAATACGAACTTTTGTTCCTGCAGCTGCGAGTAGGCTGCAGAAAGATAGAGACGAATAAAGTCAGTGTCAAGTGTAGAGTTAAGTGTGAAGACTTTTTGTTACTTCTTGTAATAATATTTCTAGCTTGGTAGTTAATAATGTAACCATTTGCTCTCTCAAAATAAATTTAAGATATTTAATTTTTATTTGGTGTGGATTTTGGTGAAACTGATGGGTATAAGACACATTTTTATTGTAGGGGTGATGAATCTGGTTTGGTAGATTAAACCATGTATCGGAAGAATCCATCTTAGAAGTTTGTGGTTTTCACCAGTCTAAAAGGGTCATTTCTGGGGAGAATAATTCTCAAATTCCCTAAGAAGCATTATTCAGGGCCTTGCCCCCAGCCTCTTGCAGGAGGCCAGTGCCAAATATACCATTCTATCATGTGAATGCTGTAATTGTAGTATTACTCTTTGCCCTGAGACAGTATCCTAGTACCCTTTAAAATAAAAACACCCAAACCCATTTGCTCCCCTGACAAGAAAGCAAGTACACAAGGTAAGTATTTATGTAGTTTAATTGTAATGTGAAGTATAAGTGATCTAGTATAACACTTAAAAAGCCAAGCTTCTTGTGTGAGCTGAAGTAACTATGGCCTGAGGGTAATGATTTGTCTAGACTTGGTTGGTAACTTTTTCTGCTCAGTTATTTATACTAAACTTCATTTTATTGTCCCACAATTGTGACTTTGGGCTACATTATCTGCATTTTTTCCCCTCTGCAAGAAAGGACGCCGCATTTGGGATTGTGAACCATAAGCAAAAGTGCAGGGGAAAAAAGGATCATGTTGGTAGTGATTTTTCTGTCAATTGTTCAAGCAACTTAGCCATTCATCAGAATGTGGGAGATGATGCTCAAATTTCTTCTTTTTCTAAGAGGATCTGAGTCAACATAAAAATTACTGCATAAATGAGGCAGGAAGGTCACTAGGGTGGTTTCCTTGCCCCAACATAGGATCGAGTACTTCTATGTTGTTGTTCATGAAAATTTGTCTAACATCCTTGAAAAATCCTTCAGAGACGAAGGTTCAATCTTCTGATTTTATTCTCAGTTTGGTTTAGGGTGGGGGAACTCAATTATAATATGCCTTCTTGTCCTGGTTTCGGCTGGGATAGAGTTAATTTTCTTCCTAGTAGCTGGTATAGCGCTGTGGGTTGGATTTAGTATGAGAAGAATGTTGATAACACACTGATGTTTTAGGTGTTGCTAAGTAGTGCGTCAACTAAATCAAGGACTTTTCAGCTTCTCATGCTCTACCGACTGAGAAGGCTGGAGATACACAAGAAGCTGGGAGGGGGCACAGCCAGGACAGCTGACCCAAACTGGCCAACAGGGTATTCCATAAAGTATGACGTCATGCTCAGTATATAAACTAGGGGAAAGCTGGCCGGGGGGCTGCTGCTCGGGAACTGGCTGGGCATCGGTAAGCGGGTGGTGAGCATTGTACATCACTTACTTTGTATATTCTTTTATCATTATTATTATTTTTCCCTTTCTTTTCTGCCCATTAAACTGTCTCTATTTCAACCCACGAATCTTACTTTTTTTCCTTCCCTGATTCTCTCCCCCATCCCACTGGCGGGGGCGATGAGCGAACGGTTGTGTGGTGTTGAGCTGCCTGCTGGGTTGAAAAACGACACTTCTCTCGAGAGCATCTTAGTGATCGCACTAATCATTCTTTCTTTCATTAATGGCCCAGCGCATACATGGTTCAAAAAGCGGGAAAACATCCATCACAAGGTACTGATGGCCTTCACATCAGACTCTGCAGTACCATGACAGCTAAGGTGCTGACCTAAGCAGTGAGTGGTAGGAATGGAAACCCATCAGAGAAAGACTAGTCTGTTGTATGAGTGAAAACATGATTGATTTTGCCTTCTGAGATGTAACCATGTCTCTTCAGTTGTGCTTTGTGCAGATAGCCTTTTGCATTCCTGTGCCTGTATTCTGAGTGTCTCAAGATGAAACAACTGGTGTGGGTTTCTTTTGGGATTTTTTTGGCTCGGAAACCACAAAACTTCTATAATTTGCTTGAGTTCTAACCAGTTATATTTTAGTTGCTGCACTTTTTGCCCTCATACAGCCCTCTCTCTTGAAATATTTGCAAAATCTCAGTTAACAATAAAACAAATAAAAAATAATAATAAAAAAAAATTATAAAGAGTAGTAACCTTCTTAATGGCATATCAGTTGACCTAGAGTAGTATTTTTGTAGCTATCACAATAGAAAGCTTTTCATAGAATGTGGGGCTCTGTAAATTTAGAATTTAACTTTTGAAATCTTTGTTTCTTAGACTTAACTAAGCTCAGCGTGTTTCATGTTTATATGGTGGTGTAAAAAACAAACCAAAAAACTTCCACGTCGTCATTTTTTTCTTCTTTTCAGCTGGTGAAGCTTTGTATTGCAATGATTGATACTGGGAAAGCATTCTGTACAGCCAACAAGCAGTTCATGAATGGAATTCGAGACCTGGCACAATATTCCTGTAAAGATGCATTGGTTGAGGTAAGTTCTTTAAGAGGTGAAAATGGAAGGAGAAAAGCATAACTTAAGAAGGGTAAAATATAACAGTTGGCAAGAGAAGTAGCTGAAGTTTATACTATTATTTGCCTTTTTGCTCCTTTTTCTTTGAGATGTCTTAAGAGTGAGCTTTTTTGACTGTGGTGCACTGCAAGTGCCTGTGCTGTTTAGTTTCAGCTTTAACCTGCAATGGCAAGGGTTTTCCAAATTCCAGAAAATGTGTATTAGGTTAGGAATAGTCTTCTTGGGAGGAGTGGAGAAAGTCAGGTTGAAGCTGTGAACAGCTGCCCTGTTTACTTTGCTGAATAAAGGGGTTCTGTTAATGAGATCTGAAGAGCTGTTTCTCTGCAACTAAATTCCTTGAGTTGATCTCTTGGGCCCTGGAACTGGCACTCTCCAATACATAGAAATTCAAATTTTTAAATGTACAGAGCCCGCTTTGATGGTGTAACCTCAGACTGATGTCTTGTTAGGCTAATTTGGAACAGCTAATATTTCCTATCTATGTTACTTTGAAATGAGGTATGAAATTGTTTAATATGCAGGTATAATTATGTGCACATCTCTGTGTATATTATCTATATTTAATGCCTCTTATGTAATAGAACATCAATTGCAGGTATGCATCTTCACACACTAGTTGGAATAGATAATGCCTGCGAACTTCAGTATAGTCTGTGTGCAACTGAAACTGTTGTTGTCTGGAAATTTACTTGCTAGAAATGTAGTGCGATGGCAAACTAGTAAAACTTACATTATTTGATTCCAAGTAGGTTTTTGTTACACTTGTTGTGTAAGCAATAAGCAGTTATCCAAATATATTAGGGATCTGTGTTTGAGACATCGATTCTACAGATCGATGTTGATGTTGCTAAGCGTATCAGCTATGAGGCAGTAGATCCTACAGTAAATGTGTGTGTACTGATGATTACAACATGTGAACCAGGTTTTTGGAGTTAGAGTATTAAACATTAATAAATATGGAGTAGTGTAATATTAAATATTGTAAATTAATGTGTTAAATTATGTGAACTTCCCATAGTTTAGTCAACTTAATTTGAGTTTTTCCTGCTTTGCTTCGGTTTGGTCCTTTATATATAGGTAGGTAGCAGTAACATTTTTGTTGCTTGTAGCTTTAATAGATTTACTTGATATTACCCCCATGTTCTCCTTCTAGCATAATGGTTTTAGTTTAATAATCATGCTAAGGAAAATGAATTTCCAAGTGCTTTTCTGAAAAGCTGTAAGCCTCTGAAACGCTGCTTTCGTGCTGTGTATTTGGTAGGGCTTAACTTAAACCACTTTGTTTTTCTCTTTACAGACCAGCTTGACAAAGTTCTCTGACACCTTACAGGAAATGATCAATTATCACAATGTAAGTATTTCTAGCTGAAACTGATAGCTTACCTCCAGTTATATTTGATAACAGAATAATGCTAAAAATTTTTGTTGATACTATTTGCAAAGTCATGGTTTAAGTGGTATTAAATACCTCTCATTTTATACTTGTAAATATTTTATTTATATTTTGTTTATGAAGTATTTAAAAATCTGCAGAAAAGGGGATATTTATATCTCGCTTTATTTTTTGTTTGGAATTTGTAAGCCTTACTAAAAGCCAGTGCTGTAAGACAGAGTAAATACTGGATTGTTTCATCTTTTTTAATCAAACTGATGCGTAGCAGTGACAAACTATGAGCATATTTGTTTGCTGGACTGAAATAATTATTACCTTTTCCATAATTTCTACTTCTTTCCCCATCCTTTATAATGGACAAAATGAAGCACCTCTGATTTGTGTGTAGTTTTCTTTTTGGAAGCATGACAGATTTAGACAAGTGCAGAGAAAGGAGAAAATGCTAGGATTTAAGACTAATAGTGATTTTAGCATGTCAGACTTCATCAGAAAGCTCAGTTTTGCCTGGATTAAAAACTGATTTTTTTTTTGTTCTCCTTGAAAGAGTTTAGTCTTGTATCCTGAAAGCCAAAGGGATGTGTTCGTTTTTCTATTTTCTTCATCTTGCCTGGGCCCCTACTGCTTTTCTTTCATTTTCCAGCAAATTGCTGGAAAGTAACTGAAGTGTCTTCAAAGTGCTGAAAATATGCAGGGCACTTAAAATTTATTTTTTTTATACCACTACGAGTTTAAAATGTAATGAGATACAGAGAATGCAGTTCAAACAGCTTCAGCTGAAATTAAGTTTGTTAGCATTAACTTAGCTTCCTAAAACTGTCTTATTAGGCATTTTTTTGAAAATGCATGCTTTTAGAAGGGAAGGGAAACAAAGGGAAGCGGGTGAATACTGTTGAGTTGGATTTCCTTTCCATTATATGAGGTGTACATATCTACACCTAATATAATGAAAACTGTGAAGAAGGGAGTAAGTGGACAGTGATACTTTGATGGTAAAGAGAAGCTAGTGCAAAGGTTCAAAGCAGCAGTAGTGGAAGAAAGTGTTACTTTCGTGTCAGTGATTTCTGCAGGTTAGATTGAGCAGATGAATCCAGTTCGCTGTCTCTATTTTATACTCTTAATCACACTTCTTGCTGCTTGTTACCCTCTAACCATGTCTTTGCTATATGGTATGCTCTTTTTGACACATCTGACCTGGGTCCTATATTCTTGCTGCTGTTATTGTTCTACATGATGGTGGCTTGCAGCGCTTTGGTAAAATTTGGCACACCACAACTCTCCCTTTAGGGCAGTTTGAAGGCAGAAAGCAAAGAACAAGCCATATTAAAAGCAGATTTCTTTGCAGATCTATGTTGAACCACTCCGAGTTCTGTCCTGCTTTTTTTCCCTCCACTTCCTTGCTGTGTTCAAGCATAGTGAGTAGAACAGTGGCTTTTACCAAAAGGCACAAATATAAGAAGTGAGGCATGTTATGGGGTTCTGATGTAGAGCTTTGCCAGACATGTTGTGGTCCTGCGTTGCTTTATGTGAATAGCAGGACTTACTAGCTCAGAGCGTCAGCGCTGTTGTTGACCAAGTTGGCAGGAGAGCCATCATGAGTGAGAAGAATCTAGAGGAAGAAAGATGAGAGGCAGGCATCCTCCAGAGGAAGGAGGGAAGGGGTAGGAGATGGTCCCTCTGAGATCTGGATGACTGTCAGTTTTCTCATATGAGGCTTTGCTACAAATAAGGCTAGGAACCAGACTAATGCAGTGTTTTCACTGAGTCAGCAGTGGGGGAGTAGCTTTGACAGCTTATGGCAAATAGCAGCTTTCTTAGACTTGGTTTGGAGTGTGTGAAAGGTAATGTGTTGGAAAGGCTGTAAATCTAGTCAGATCATGGTCTGGGTACTTTTTTCTGTTCTTTTAGGGAAAAAATGTGTATGTATTTTTCTGCCTAGCACTTTTTTCCTCTTCATTACTGTAAGCAGAATTGCAAGGCTCATGTTTCTGGGAGTCCACTAATCAGTTGAGTTCCCATCTGGTTATACTCTTTCTGTATTGATCTTGATTGGTGCACTCCTCAGGCACTGGCAAGCTTAAATGTCGGCAGTGGGAGTAGTCCCAGCATGACTCCCAGCTTGTCAAGAAGTTCTTTATCTATTCTAGTTGTCTGTTTTTCTGGTTTCCCCAAGTGGGAATACAAACGGGATCTTCCATGTGTTACTGTTAGATATAGGACAATTCAGGTTGGAAGGAGCCTCAGGAGACGTCTGGTTCAACTGCCTGCCTAAATCAGGGTCAGCTCTGAGGTTGGAGCAGGTTGCTTAGGGTTTTATCCCATTTAGTCTTGAAAATTTCCACAAATGGAGACTGGATGGAGGATATAGTACCACTGTTAATGGGTGACTTAAACTCAGTCGTGTTTTCCTTTCTTCAGTGTTTCTAGAAAAGAGAAACAAGCTGGTAAGGGTTTGCTGTCAGTACTTGGCATTGCATGGCTTTTCATTCCCAAATTTTGTGAATAGGGAAACTAAGACTGAGAACATTTAAAGAAAATATTGTTTGACCTGAAACTTTGAGTTCTTGACTTGCTCTTTCAATAAAGTTACTTAACACTTAAAGGTCTTTACCTTTTGGAAGAGATTCTGTTCAGTTGGGCCAACTACTACTTCCTTATATTCTTTCACATCTTTAATTTTTTGTGATCGTGCCTTGTATATTTCTGTAATGCAGAATGGGAGGTGTAGAGGAGTTGGAAATTAAGGTCTGCACAATGATAAGTGGCAAAAGGATTTGTCCCATAGCCATTGACCTGTTCCATTTTGTCCTAAAGCTCAGAGAGCAGGTGTGAAGCTGAAGGAATGTGCGTTTTCATTTCTCAGTTAGAATTTCTGGTGTCATAAGAGAAAATAGAAGTTGTCTAACATTCAGTTATGCTTTGGCCTCGGAAACTTAAAAAATTTCTCAAGCTTTACTATTTGAATGAGTAGATTATATTCTGCTCCTCTCCCTCCCCCCAGTCTCCCCAATTCATAAGAAATCTGAGAAGCATGGCTTAGAACACTTAATCTTAGAAAAAGAAGCAGCCATTCTTCTTAGCAGTTCAACAGTGGGTGTTTTTTTACAAACGTATTATGTAAAGGAGATGGTACTAATTACTAACATAAATGTATGTTACGTTTTCAGCATTAATTTCAGTCTGTGGTTTTTTTTTCCGGAAGTTAAGGGCATGTTCTTTCTATGGTTTCATCTGTCTTTTAGTTGTTGGTTAAATTGTGAAAGTCTTTAAGAATCAAAAAAAGTTGTTACTTAACATTCAAAGTTGTTTCTTGAAGGCTGTTTGTACAGTAATATTCTTGACTGTTTAATAATCATAATGAACATGTTCTATGAAAGTGGGCATGTCTTACATTGTCAGGATGAGAGAGTAAGATGCCAGGAGCTCTTGTCTCTCCTTGTAACCACAGTCTGTAAGAAAAGACCAGCAAAAGGTGTTTGGTTTGTGTTATTTTCCTTACTTTATTCCTTTTTTTTTTTTTATTTATTTCAAAACTGCTTTGAAGGGTTTTATATTTTGATAGTAGACACACGTTGGTTTAATAATAATTCTCATCTAATTCTGCATAATAACCATGTGTATGTCTAAAATGAAAAGTTTTGAATACCCTAAGTTATTGACCTACATAATAATGCTTTTCTTTCAGATCCTGTTTGACCAAACCCAAAGATCAATTAAAGCACAGCTTCAGACTTTTGTTAAAGAGTAAGTTAATTTGCACGTGTAATGGGAAAATTATAGGTGAAATAGAACTTAAATGCGTCTGATTTGAGTAGGTTGGTGAAACATCTTTCCTGAAAATTGCCAGCCATAAATTGAGAAGTGCGTATTAAAGCTTGTCAAAAATCGCCCCAAATCAGTGAACCTTTAGATCCAGCTGCAGAAATGTTGAAATAGTATGATCTTAATTACATGTTGTCATTGTCTAAGTTTAGGGGGGAAAAAAGTGCTTACCAAAGCTTTTCCCCAGTAACCATGAGATGCATTTATTTAAATTTCAATTTTGTCCTTTCCTCAGAAGAGAAAGACAGAGAAGCTTCTATCATGCTTTGTATAATTTCCATTTCATCCAAGCATTTATTGAAGAATATGAAAACAAAGAAACTAGCTATAACAGTCACAAGCGTGGTCTGTCTAGTGTATCTTTAAACACTTTTTTCCTGCTTTGGAATTAATTTGTTATCCATCTTTCCTTTGTCTTTAGAGATATTAGGAAATTTAAAGATGCAAAGAAACAGTTTGAAAAAGTTAGTGAAGAAAAAGAGAATGCTCTAGTAAAAAATGCCCAAGTTCAAAGAAATAAGCAACACGAAGTAGAGGAAGCAACCAATATTTTGACTGCAACACGGAAATGTTTTCGACACATAGCTCTGGATTATGTTCTTCAGGTAAGTGCAGCAATAAAAGTTACTTTTTAAAACAATCTGTTACATATAGTTAGAGATCTGTCCTTCAGCAGTTCTTATTATAAGCTTCTCAGAAGCTGTGGAGATTCAGTGAAAAAAGAATAACTTTGCAAGTAATTTCTTTTTTAATGAAATCTGAGAAAAATTAATTTACTTGATGCATTCTTATTGCTTAATACCAATTGCTTTGGTATTCAGTGCTGTTGCTGTAATGGCATAGTTTAATTTTCAACTTGAACATTCATTTTGAAAAAAACAGTATTTGCCTGATACTTAAATGTATTTCGTGACTTGGCTATGCTGTAGTTCCTTGGAAATACAAATTACCTGAATAATTCTGATATAGGATGTTGGCTACTACTACAATTTCAGCTGTTTGCTTTGGGTTTTATTTAACAAATCCTACTTGTCTAGAAGCCTCGGATTTTGGTATTGTGCCATAGGGGAAATCAAGAACATAACTACTCTTTTGCTTTTTAGTGCAGATCTCCTATAGAGTTTTGAGAGGTATTCTCTGTCCTACTACTTTGAATCCTGTGAAATAATAATAAATTCTTTGTCAATACTTACAATTCATCTGTTTCATAGTTACCCACAACTGCAGCAAAACAGGATTATTGCACTCGGATGATATGAGGGGTTTGGGGCTCCTATAAATGTGTCTGGGGTTCTTCTATGATCAAACACAGAACAACCCTTTAAAATTATGTTAGTTTTGTATTAGGCATTATCATCTTGATTTGTGACAGTCCAGTCAGTTATTTAAAGCTTAGTTAACTCTTCTTTAAATTGCATGTATTACCTGTGAAGTGGAATCGATCTGAGCAGCCTGGGCACATGCACAGATACGATGGTCAGTGGTCAACACTGAATTCCTGCCTTTTGAACACTAAGGACAAAGTTAATTTTGATGTTTAAAAAGTCATGTGAATTATGTACCACTTAATTATTTGTACTAACGTCAAATAGTAGCAGGGGGGAAGCTGGCAGTCATTACTATAGGCCAGTTCCTTGTGTGTGCATTGAACTGCAGATCGTTTGCCTCCTGGAATTCGTACGTTCGAAGTATGAGCAGTTCCTGTGATAAAGATGCATTTAAAGTAACAGGGAAAAGTTTCAGCATCTCTTAATTAATGCGGGCAAAAATGAATTCAGCTTTAGGAATTCTTTCTACTTGGGTGACTCTTTTCTTCTGGAAAACTGGCTTCAGAACTATGGTCTCTTTGTAGCTATATTGGCTTTAAACTGTATTTCAAAACCTTTGTTTTCCTTTTATATTTTTTTTGCCTTGCAAGTTGAGGGTTTGTTTTATACAAACAAATCTTAATTATTTTTGCTGCAGAAGGTTTTCCAAAATACTGACTATTTAAGTATAGAAGTACAGTCTGGTTTTGATTATAGCGTCAGTAAGTTTATTTCTTTCGCTGGAATTTTAAACTGAGGTGTTAAATTACAAAATCATGCATGTTTCTGCTAAACGGGGCTTTTAAAGTAAAATCTGTAGTTCTGGATGATAACCTTAAAGATTAGGGGACAAAGAGGATAGAGGAGCTAGGTGAATGTGAAAAATCAGTTATTTTTTCTATGTAATGTGAAATTCTTCAAGTTCTAGGGCAACACCATAGGTCAGTGACTTCAGCTAGCTTAAAAGTGCAAGTATATATGAAAAGTTACTTGTTGAAGCTATTATGATCTTCCTTGTTTCAGAAGCTGGGACTATATCCCAGTTTTGGGACACTTTGGACAATGTCAGCCCAAGGGGGAAAATAAACATGCCCCCATCCTTTCGTCTCCCCTGGCAGGAGACGGCAGTGGTGCTGAGTGCAGCTTCTTTAAGAGGTTTGTGGGCTGGGTTAGCTCGTACTGTCAGAAAGGGTATTTGAAACATGTTGAATTCAATCTCTTGGAAATGGGTACCAATTTTCCTTGCTTGAAAGGTGTATTGTATTACTTTTAGCTAGCATATGATGTCTTATATTTTCCCTTCTAATATAAGAAAGTTGTGACTATCACTGTAAAATTCTAGTTTCGCAAGCTTTTTCTGATTGCATCACTTTAATATCATGACAAAACTAGCATGCATCTTCTTTTAAAAGTGCTTTGTGAAGTCTGATATTAAGTTATGTTCTTCCAATGTTTTAAGCTTTGATATGATTATTTGGAAGTAACTTGAAGTTTACTTCTGTGGGGAAAATTTGCAAGTAGAATAAAATAAGTTGCTTGGTTTTTTTCAGATCAACGTTCTTCAGTCTAAAAGGAGAGCAGAAATCTTAAAATCAGTAAGATACGCTTTATTTTATATTTAAATATTGTATTTAAATATTTAAATACATCTGAAATTAAAAATGTGGCTGCAAAGCAGTATGTTAAAAATTTAGTTCTTTTACCCATCAAAACATTACCAGTACATTTGGCACTTTGGTGACAGTCAGTTTGGCCTTTACTATAACTGGGCATAGATGCTTAACTGTTTTTGGCAATCCTTTTGGTTCAGATTTGAAGACTTTAAGGTTTTCACTGCTGTTGACTCTTTGGTATGTGTTTCATGGTTAAAACTGAGCTTTGTCTGCCAAGAATTCTGCTGTTTAGGTCTGCTATATTAACTTATAAACAATAAGTACTTCTAACACTACTTAAGCTCTTTCTACAAAAATGGTAGGTTTTATGTAAATAGCATATTATAATAGCAAATATACAGTATGCTTTAGTATGGTATCTGCTAAATTAATATACAGTTATATCTGCATGCTAGTTTTCTTCTGATTGTACTCCCTTTTCTGCTTTGTATTATCTCTGTAAAAAGTTTACTGACGTGGAGACTGACAAATTAAATGGTGCTTTTCTTTCAAAAGTCTAAAGTTGCACTCCCATAATATCCTTAATTCCTTTAAATAGCAAAAACTTTAGTTGGATCACAACTTTATAGCTGCTTGCCATTCTGCTCTTCCCAACTAATTTTCTTTTTTTAAGTCTGGACAGTCTTCTCAGCTATGTTCATAAAGGTTATGGTTTTAGATCATTAGTAAATATATTCTGTAGCCCCTCTCTAATTTACATATCCTAGTTAAACAGGAGATAACAAAAGTTTCGGGTGACATGAATTAGAAGTAATTTTCTGCCCTTAAGTAGATTTCTTTTGTTAATGGGGTTAATCCTATTAACTAATTTCTTGGTTCTTTGCTGCCTTTACCTTGCATATTTATTTACAACATTGGAAGCTCTATGAGGTATTGATGTAAAATTGCCAGGACACAAGAGAGCAGAAATTAACCCTGGAATTGTATTTTAAGTTTGTTCATGTGGATTAGTTAAGTGATATATTTGTGATATCTGACAAATATTTATCCTTTTAAAAATATACTTTTTTCCTTCTAGATGTTATCATTTATGTATGCCCATCTGGCTTTTTTCCATCAAGGCTATGATCTTTTTAGTGAACTTGAGCCCTACATGAAAGATCTTGGTGCACAGGTAACAAATTACTTTAAAAATTCATAACTGTATGCTAGAGTGGATGGAAACTTGATATATGCGTACGTATCAGGTACATCATAGATTTATTCAACAAAAAGGGAACTGTAGTGTGATAAAGGCAAAGCATAAAAATACACTAGGTGGCTTGAATGAAAATAGTTAGAAACTGAAAGTTGTCTGTTTACTAAAATTAATGCTACCTTTAGGATTTACATACTTAAACATAGCCATGTAGTGCTGTTTGAGGTATTCTGTAGTATTTGGGACACAGGACTATTTTGTTTTAAAAATTTTTGTATATGACTCATGTTATAAATATATTTAACAATAAAAAGTAGATTAGGTTTTTTCTTCTACTTTACATTATTTACTGTATAAATTATGCAGTATGCCAAAAACAATATTTCATGTTAGCAACTTAGACCATAAAACAGAAGTCTGATTTTAATAAGTAGTGCAAAACTGAGTTCATACATTGAATCGTTCTTGCCCAGTTTTGTTGTTTAAGTTTAAGAACACATAATTGCAACTTATGGGTTTTCAGTGAGGGACTTATGGAAAGGTTAGATGGACCTCAGTCAACTGCATACAGGAGATGTTGAAAATGGTTATGCAAAATAGATTAAGAACATACAGTATTCAACTGAAGATCTGTGGTGCAGGAAGACTCAGCAGTGTCTTGACTTGTTTTCAGTGCAAGTTGAATTGGCCTGGAAATACTTGTACAACACTTCTTTTTTTTTTTTTTTTTTGCCTCTATCTGAGGACTTGCAACAACTGCAGTGGTGCAAAACCCTCTATTGCCACTTCCCCGTCTGATCCACAAAACAAAGCCAACCCAAATTCTAAGTGTCTGTCCAGATACAAAATTAAATAAATGACAGCAAACATTTATTTGCATTCATCTCAAGTAGATGTGTCACTGAATGTCTAAGAAATGACATTGTTCTGAGCTGGTTATTCCTGCCACAGCGCTGTTTGTCATCTGTGCCCCTCAACCTGCTTCTGTGTCTGTGCAGTGAAGCAGATTGGGAACTGTAGAAAATAACTCCCAACAATCAATGTCTAGTTATTTTTCTGCTAGACTAGTCCCCAGTCAGGTTACTGTGGGTCTTAATTACTTGTACAAACATACGTCAGGGAGGTGTGCACTTGTGTGTATGCATGCGTGTGGCGAGCAAGTGATGGAGCTGAAGAGAGAGACAGGCTGCTTGAGCTGGCACTGCCATCAAGAAGGGAAGTTACTGTACAGCTACAGCCGTCCGTGTTTGGTGTAATAGCAGCACTTGAAAGGTTCAGGTGCACAGGACTCTGTCCTTAGTTGTGCCTTTTATTCTTTCACATCCCTCCACTTTGGGTTGTAATTGTTGAACTGTAGTGTTTTGATAGTATGGAATGTGTGTCCTGTACCTCTGCAGAAGAGGGGATGGAGAAAGGAGACAAAAACTATGGAGTTGGTAGTGGTTTGTCCTACCAGCTAGGCTTTAAAATTTCCATTTCATTGAGATTATTTGAGCAAGGAACACAAGGTTAGTTTTGAATGGGTGGTCATCCTTTTGCTTGACCTGATAGGGAGCATTGTGTAACATTCATTTTGGTGCTGGTATCATAGCAACTGAAGGAGTTAAATTTAGAAAATCCAAAGCTGAGAATATTTAAAATGTATTGCAATTGGAGCAAGATAGACTGAAGACCCTAAAGTTGTACAACTTGCTGAATTATTCTTTTGTGGCAAACCTTGGCATTTAAGTAATGGATATTTTTCATGACAGAAGCAGATTTTAAATAGCTTATGAAAGTTTAACAGTTAATGGCTTTGCAGTTTATATTGGTTGAAGATTCTGCCTTTAACAGGTCAGAGAGAAGGTATGTTGTGACATAACAAAACAGGGATTTGCTAGATTTTTCTGAAAATACTGGCAGATTCTTTCTGTTGGTAAGTGAGTTTTCATTCCCAGGTAAATTTTGTGTATGGTTTTAATTACAAGGTTTAACAGCACCTGAATTGAATTTCTGAAAATTGAAGTGATCTTAAATAGTGTAGTTATAATTTTTAGTTCTTTTGTTTTGCATTTTCAGAATAACTTGTTTACATGACAGAATAGGATTGAGCAATTTTGCTTTCTGGTTATTTTAGGTCAGGGTAGGATTACTCGTGAGTCAGATCATTGTGGGGGGATCTTTAATGGCACACAAGTGTAATACAAGCTTTTGCATGGAAATTATGGTATTTGGCACTTCATGTGAAATGTGGTATTAGTTTAAAAAGAAAACCTACTTGAGTCTTCATTCTGAGGTGACTATTCAAAAAGCTAAACATTTTGGTCTTAGTTCTCTACAGAATACCAATTATAGCAGTATACGCTTATAAAAATACATTTACCAGTAAATGCACTATTTTGAAAAACCTAATTTTTGGAAGTCTACCCAGTAGTGGTATAATGACTGGGATTTTGATAGTTTTGTTGTGTGATTGGCCACAGCTCTTGATAGTTGTATGCTGTTGGTCTTTTTTGTTTAAGACAGTCGATGTGCTGCTCACCTGAGTGAAAAGAAGAAATTCTGGTCTGAACTTGGAAACTGGAATGATGCAATGCTGTCTTGACAGTAAAAAAGTAAATGATGAAATGAGCTGCTGTTAAGAACTTTGTTTTGGCACTTATGCTGTGGTAAATGTATCCTCAAACGCTTGTATTTAAGATACATTAGAGGTAATTGTCCTAATCTCAGTGTGGCTACCTTCTGTTTCATCTAGCTGGGTAGCTGGAAGAATTTCTTGGGGGCCATGTGCAGATGCCTGAATCTGAGGTTTTAGCAAGAAACTTGATTCCTATAAAGTCTTGAACAGCTCTTGGACTCGTTCTCATCTTTATCACAAAAGAATGGGTTTCTCAGGGTTCTTGGTGCAAAACAGTCTTTGAGCACAATGGCAGGCCAGTCTCTGTTTTAGAGGCTCTTCTATCATTTTTAAGTCATATAGCTACATAAACACGATATCTGGACACTTCAGTCTTTAATGTGTTCATGTTCACAAATGCCTGTAAGGTGTGAAAGTGCTGGTATAGCCATTTGAGCCAGAGGAGAAGCCAGGGACAGAAGAGTTAAGAAAAGTAACAGAGTATGGAATTGGATCCAGATGTCTCAATTATCTGATGGCTCCTTAATTGTTGGAGGCTGTCTAGCACAAGGGTGTAAGAGCTGGTTATCGTCCCTTTTTTCTCTCATTTATATCATTTCAAGCAGGGGAAATACAACACTGAGGAAAATGACCAGAGTTGGCAGGAGTTCTCACTTGTAGTTATGAGAGTGGGTGGAGGCAATCCTATTTGTGTGTGAATTAGAGGTTCTGTTAGTCACACTGTGCCCTCTGCCACGTGACTGACTTCAGCTGGAAAACTGGTGTTGCACACTGTTCCAGGAGATCTGTCCCACAGATGTAAAGCTGCGGGCTGTACTGCTGTGTTCAGTATTGCATCTGCATTGTTATTCAGTAAGATGCTGTGGCTGGGGTAAATGGCAGTCTTGTATTACAGGCTGGATAAAGGAGTTGTTCATCGGATTCCATAGCGTGTCACATAACTACCAAGCTAACTGGTCTTTCAGGCAGCATCTGCTCCTCCACTTTACCATATCTCTTATTTAAACATCAAAGTCTGTAAAAAAAACAAAACCAAAAACAAACAAAAAAACCCCCCAAAATCCAAACAAAAAAACAACCCACCCCCCCCCAAAAACAAACAAACAAACAAAACCCCCACAACCAAACCAAAAAATCCCCCGCCAAACTTACTCTCTTATAGGATATCTGAAATTTCCTGCCTTTTTTTCCTTATGGTTTTAAAAGGAAAAAGTTTATATAATAGTGCTATAGACATGCTTGCAGCAAGTTTTTGGTAGTGTCTGGTTTTATTATCACAGACTTTGTAAGGATGCTGACTTAAATCCTCTCTGTTGTGACAGTGTCTCTTCTTTGCAAAATCATATTGCTGTTATTTCTGAAACTAGAAACAGTTTGAATGGTTCTACCTAAGATTTCAAGGAATCTTTCTCAAATACTGCTGGTGACCTGATCGAAACTATCAGTACAAAAGCCTGGTTGAGGCAGTTCCCCCCCTTTTGTGGAGGGCAAAAATCACTAGCATTCGCTCCTTCTAGTTTTTGCTGCTAATGCCAGTGCTGCTGCATAGGCCAGTCAGCCAGCAAGAGCAGCTAAAGCATGAGTCATTCTCTTTGGAGACTGAGCACCAATGCGGTATAGAGTCGCATATGCTTGGCACCATGCTGTTCTTTGAAACATTTCTTCTAAGGCTTACAAGAAATGTACACCTTTCGTAGAGGTTAATTTAGGATGATAGTGCAGTGCTTTAATCGAGGCTTCAGTGGTAATTCAAGGTAAACACTTTGTGACAAGAGAACTAATTGTACTATGCAAATAAAACAAAAGTCATGCAATGTCTAGACATAATGTGTTCTTTTTTGTCAGCATTATGAAATCTACTGAGCCAAATTTCTCTTTATACCTAAAGATCCAATTTTCTGTTTCTCTTTACAGCTGGATCAGTTGGCTGTAGATGCTGCAAAGGAGAAGAGAGATATGGAGCAAAAGCACTCCACTATTCAACAAAAGGTACTTGAGAGAATGTGAAAGGCAGACTGCACATACATTTTTGTATCTCTAGCATCTCTCCCCAGCAGTTGCATCTCTGCATCAGAACTGTGAGGGATGGTATCTTTAGTGCAGAGAAATAGACTTACACATCATTAGCGTAGGGTTGGATTCCAGATATTCCTTTTGTATTACAGAACAGAATATTACATTTAGTTGTTACTGAAACATAAATAGAACAGTAGAATTTATTTGAATGCTGGGACTCTGGCATTTCATTAGAATTCTTAATACCTATTACATCTAGGATTCAATATAGTTGTAAAAATTGCTGTCTTTCCCTCCTTTGTGTCTGTAGAGGAGGTGTATATGCTGCACAGTCCTACAGTCATATGTATCACTTTCTGGACTGTGCCAAATATGAATGCAGCACTTTGAGGTAGTGTGGCAGCTGCTATTGCATATAAAGAGCAAAAGTAAACTTTTGTAAAGGCTGTCTAATGTATGGTGTTGAACTGTACATAAATACGAAAGTGATAACATTAAATTGCTGTTTTGGGAAGATTTGTATATGCAATAATTCTTATCTTTGTTGAGAAAAATGTAGATAATTCATGTTGTGGGGGGAATGACTTCTGTTGTTTGGATGTTTCGGAAGCTCTAGATCAGTGTTGGTTTTGCAGGTATAATGCTAGAAGTTAAAAATATTTCCACTGAACTCTCCGGTAGTGAGCTAATACTGCAGGTACTTTTGAAAGGGATTAGATACCAGTTTGAAGGTAATGCAACACTTCTTACTCTCATTCAAATACGTTCTGTATCTGTTCAGGTGGCATAATTAAAAAAAAGCCTAATGTAAATGAAATCTGATGAATAAATAAATTCAGGAATGGAAACATTCTAGGATTATAATTTAGGTAGCCTTAGTAGAAGTCAATATTGATACTAATGGGAAAAGGTAACATGAAAATGTTTTTGTCAATTCATCCTGTCATTTCTGCAGGAGTTGGTGGGAAGCATTAGAATTGCTGTAACTGTGAAATTGAGCAGACAAAATGATGGGTTTTAGGGGAGTGCTGATGTGCTGTGTTTGGAGGCAGCCAGGAGATAACTACAGGCAAGGAAGGGGAAGAAAGAGGGGAAATGAAAGAGGTGGAACTTGAGAATTAACATTGATGTTCAAATTTTCATTTGTTTGGGCTCAATAGGCCTAGTTTCAGGAGTGGGCAGTAGATGAACATTTTACTGTTAGAGAACAGTGGTGCTTGGTGAAGGATGTAAGTTATGGGCAACTATCTTTTAATTGGCCATAGAAATAATAACTTGTTACCGTGAATTATGGTCATTGCTGTTGCCAGTGGTGTTTACAGTCTTTGTTTTTTCTTCAAATGCTGCTTAAGGCTGCTTTACAGGTAAACTACTTCTAATAGTATCAATAGTTACTGAAACTTTTAAGCTTCATGAAACTTGATAAGCTATATCTGTGTGTAATAAAAATATTCTTGGTTTCTCGTACAAATAGCAATCATAATGACGTTATTTATATATTATTCCTTATTTTAATTGAATGACAATTTTTACACTGTCTCTAAAGTATAATCAGAGCAGTCAGATTGTATTGTATGTTGTCCTCTAAAATTCTGTGTTGCAAACTGTATATGTTGTTTCCTGTCCTTATCAGTGAAGTCACTGATGCATTTTTGTGATGATAATGCCTAGATTAATGCATGCAGGCTTTGGAGGGTGTGCTTTATTGGAGATTCTTCTTATAGCTTGTCAAATCATTTTCTTGCTTTCTTACTCAAATCATGTTGTCTGTCTGTTTTTTGTTGTCTCCTACTTGCTTTTCCCAACCTTCCCACCAAGTTTGCTCCCAGCTCATCAGGATTTCAGAATCTTTAACTGCCTTAGACCTTGGATCTTGTTCTTCATCTCATTGTTTGTCATTTGGTCAACCTGACCAGGACGGCAACCTTGTTCTCTGTTCTCTTCTCGTGGCTTGTCATGTTGCTTTCCACTGGGCTGCCTCTTAGCCATATGTTCCCAAATCTTCCAGTGCCAAATCCTTCCATGTTTTGTAACTACTGAAACTTTTGTTTCTTGTGTTGAATATTCCATGAGGTATATATGTATTTAATATACTGAAGTTTTAATCTAATGCTTCAGAATGCAGCCTTTTCTTCATTGTGTGGATAAAGAACAGTTCCTTTTCTGAAATGTATAGGTAAGTGCACATGTGCACACACCTACCCGCCCACTACCTGTGTTTGCATATATGTGCATATGCATGCAGAGTAATTGCACTAATTAAATAACTCGTCTCACTTTTCTTTATAGTCATCATCCTATTTAATTAGGCTGTTGTCTGAGAGGCTAATACAAAAGTCATGGAAGGGCTTGGTCACCACTATAGTTTGATTTCTATTTTAATCAAACTGATGTCTGATTTTTTTTGTTTTTGTTTTAACTTTTGTGTTCTATTTACTCAGCAAATACGCAGGAAACTTTTTTTTTAGTGTAAGAAATTATTTTTTCCTTATTAATCTGGAGCAACACATACTATGAATTAAACTAGAAATGTCACGATCATTCTAGGAACTTTTTGCAATATATTTTTATTTATATTTTATAATCATAGCAAAAGAGTGGTGTCACAGTGTCAGTATCACTTAAGACTTATAACTCTTGTTTTCTGAGCAGTTTGCAGTCCATTGCTGTAGTACCATGTTGAATTAAGTAATAATTTAAAAATCGGTTGGACCTGTAAACAGCATTATGGATTTTTGGTTTTGTGACAGAGCTAATATTTTGTTCTAAAATGAGTGAAATGATACAGGAAAAACATTTGCATTGAACTTCAAATAGTTTTCATTATATTCAAATCCCTTTTTCATTTAAAAAAAAAAAATCTGCATCCAAAGAACTGCTCAGGAAACAGCTGGAGTGAGAATGATTTGAAAATCTTTAACATCTTGAGTAAACAAGGTGATAGGAAACCAGATGCTACCACAGTCATAAAGCTGGCCTAAACCAGAGCTGCCGTTGAGAAGTAATGCAAATTCCTGTCTCAAAAAACAGTGATGTGCCAGTATTTCTAGTGACTTGTATGCTCAATGACTATCTTGCCTTCTTTCACTTTGTCTTGGACTGTAAACCTTGTTATTTGTTGTCTGTTGTTGTTTTAAGCCCTTCCTCAAGGGACTTTCAACTTAAGCATGACAAACATCTCTTTTGCAGATGGGATGGGAATGAAAGCAACTTTCTAAACAGTGAGGGTTGCACAATTAGTGTCTTCTGTTTAGTATATCCTGGAGTAACTTTTCAGATTAGTGTTTTCTTTGGTACTTACGCTCCCTCATTTACTGCCTTTTTAAAAACTTAAAAAATTCTGCTTCTCTAAAGTAAAAAACATATTGAATACATATTGAGTGTTAAAATGCTGATACTCACACTCCCTCAGATTTACCGGTAAAATGGCTTGAATAGCTTTCATGACCTGCTAGCAATCTTCACATTGAAAGTAAATCGAAAACTCTGCTGCTGAAAAGTATGGAGGTTTGTGTTTTGGTAACAAGAAAATTATATGTAGAGAAACAGAAAACATGCAAGCTATGAAATGAATCCAGCATATATGATAAATTGATAAGTTCGCATGAAAATGCATTCCTGAAACACTGTCAAGAATAGTAAGTATTCTGTGACTCACCAGATTAGTATTAATTGTGGAAATGAAAGTTGTTTTTCCGTTGCCAGCTGGTTTGCTATCTCTTGTGGACATTTAAAGACAAAGGAAAAAAAAAAAAAAAGCCATGAAAGCATGCTGTACTCTTCACTTATATAACCCACTTCTACATGTTTCTTTTCCAGTAGCTGGCCAACCTTGAAAAATCTATATCAGAATAGAAGCCATAGATGTACCTTCCTTCAAATCTGAATGAAGTGTGCGATACAGCACTTCAGTGTAACTTTCATAATACTGGCTTAATTTTCTTAATTCTGGTTAAGTGAAAGGTACTTTAGTCCTAACTGACACCTAATTAGTAAATAAATGATGTTTAAAATTCAGTCTTTATCAGCTGTGTGTTTGCTTAAGGAATACAAAATTCTGAGTCACATAAAGTGACTGAGTTTATTAACATGTGATTCTCTTATGCAGGACTCTGGAAAGATATGGATGTATTTCTCTCCACCCCCTGATTATTTTTCGTGATTCACTAAACTTTTCCATGAGCCAAGATAAAAATAAACTATAATGTGACTGCTTTTCTCCTATTCTTTAATTATAAAATAGCAGAGACTATAAGATCAGACACAGCTTATCTAGTTCTTTTTTCTACTTTTATCTTTTTAATTGAAATGAAGTGTCATTTTTTTTGTTTGTTTATCTTTTTCCTGACCACAACTTTATCAATGAAGTTCTATGGATAAAGCATATGGAAGCTTTACTCCCTCGCCCCCCAGTTGGTAGTCGGCTATGTATAGTTAGGAAAATATTAAACATTTTTCTGTATGCTCTTGTGTCTTTATCTGCTCTGTAAAGGTGAAAGTCAATCAGGGAAGCCATTAAAAATGACACTAAATGCACTTCATGAAGAAGGCTCAGTATTTTAGACAGTTTGGACTGAGAGTGTAGCATGATAAATAATCCAAAGAAGTTTTCCTGTCATATGTCTTCAAAGCATAAATCTAGGTTCATTGGAAAAGACAGTTGTGTTTTCTGCAGCAGTTCTCCAAACCTGGAGGAAAATGTGATTACACAGTAGTTTGAACAGAAAAGACTGAGGGAATGTATGTTGTCTTTCACTAGACAAAGAGTTGCAGGCATCACTGAGGCAGGAAGATGCAAATCTTTAGCAGGTTTCATTATGTTTGGGAGCTGGTAAGTTAGCGTAATTTATCAGTTTTCTGGGGAGGGGGGGAATGTGACATCAGCATGTGCTTATAGGGATTGGAGTTTTTCTTTGGTTTGTTTTTTTTTTGGGTTTTTTTTTTTTTTGAGGGGATAAGAAAACAACAAAGGACTTTAAAACTTTGTGTATGTCATATAAGTTGTGAAATACCAAGTTAAAATTGTACTGTGGTATTTGGCTGTTTGTGCTTACAAGAAGTCTGTTCTGATCTAGAAAACAGGCAGAAAATCAAAATTATTAAATGCTGAATAATAAATGCAGAGATTTCTGATTTTTGAGAAGCTTTTATTTGCAACCTATATGTTTATTCAGCTCAATATATGGCAGTGATACGATAGTTCCATTTTCTTTTGGAACTCTTACCTTTGCACTGATCTTCTGCCAGTGAATTCATAAAAATCTAGCTGTAACATTTCAAATTTTAGTTAATCTATTCAGATTGGTAATAGCTGGAAATACTCTGAGTAATTTTATGGAATTTGCTGCTATGCTGGCCTGGGAGTGTAAAGGGCCCACTTTGATATTTGTAACCACTTCACTGTCTTGTTTAATTAACCTTGGATTGGACCAAACCATCTGCATGTGTAAGAGTAAACATTGTGTGTAGCAGAAAAGTTGTGTGCAGGCTGGAATATTACATAGGTCTATTGGTATTGTTTTTGAAGCTGGTGGGGGTTTTTTTTTGGTATAGCCTCTTTTCCCATATGTATAGTCAAATTCCTAAGGAGTAAAGTACAAAACAGAGATTTACAGACATACTTTTCACACAAAGCTGATGTTTGCAATTTACAAAAAGTACCTGCTGAAGGAATGGGAGAGTGGCATTATGAAATGTCCTGCATTTTCAGTATTTAACCTTTTTTTTTGTTCTGAAACTTAATTTTCAGTGATGTCTCTTCTGCCCTAGTTAAGGGGAAGAAGCCATATGTTGCTAGTCTACTTTAAGAATATATTTTACTAACAGTGAAATTAAATAATAGCACGTATATTATTTTGATCTCTGGACATAGCTTATGATAAATGATGTCATTCCATGTGTGCTTTTTCATGCACCCGTAGTAGCTGTTAGCCTCCCACTCACTGAATACCTGAGCTCCGTAGCTCCCTGGGAAGAGTCCATGCTGTTTCAGATGAGATATGAAAGCAAATAATCACCACATGTATTACTATGTAGTCTAGTCTACTTTTGCTGGAGATGTGAAGCAGTTAACCCTTCTAAAACTTGTAAAGCTATTATTAGCTGTTATTATTTGTTATTAGATTGATTGAAATTTGTATTACTTTGTCCTACTTCTAGCTTCATATTCTTATCAAAGATCATAAAGAAAAAAATGCTGCTAAGTTCTTGTCATCATTGCCAGCACCCTGACCGCTTTAATTTAGAGATAACTGATAGCATCATCTTTATTTGGTTACTTGTCTTCTAAGTTCTGATCTGGCTCGCTTGTCAAGATGGCAGAGCTGAAGAAAATGCTAAAGCATGACTGGCTCTATACAGTTGTCTGCAACAGGCTGTGATTGCTTTTCAGTTTTGACTCCTAACTCCCATTGCCCCTTTTCCTCTACCTTACTCTCCCCTTTCTTTGGAATATATGTGAGACCATTTGAGCAGACAGTTGAAGCATCAGATGCTCTGTCAATAATGTTTGCCCTCTACTTGGCCATAGAGATCACCAGTACCTGAGCAAGAAATTCCCCTTGTGTGCAGGTAAAGTAAAAATCTTCAGCATTCTGATCTCCTAAAAATGCTTTTTAAAAAAAATTGTCAGGGGCTGAGAGTCATGGCTTGACTAAGAAGTGTTGCAAGCAAAACGTGATTCCTAAATCTCTTTTTGACATTAATACTGCCGATATTTGAAGTTTCATTTGAAACTGCAATGTCTTTTTCTTGTCTTGTTCCTTTGTACTAGGATTATTCCAGTGATGATACTAAACTAGAATACAATGTAGATGCAGCCAATGGTATTGTTATGGAAGGTTATCTATTTAAGCGAGCCAGCAATGCCTTCAAGACTTGGAACAGGTAATTATTCAAAACCTCTGTTTACTAGCTTATTAAGATACTGCCTGTTAAGCTAAATTCTCTTCTGACTTATAATCCTATGCAACTCACTGATTCCACAGTTTTGACAGAACACTTGGACAACTCTGTTAATTAACATAGAGATGACACTTCAAAGCCATTTTTCCTTATTTTCTGTCCTAGTTGTTTACAAGCCTTTTTTTAAGAGTGTATCTTAGTCTGGAGAAGTCCTATGTATGGAAAGCTTGCTTTGTTGTGTGCAGTCCAGCTCTGTAATTGCATTTTGGCCTTACTTTGGGGTTGAAACAGACCAATCCTTATGATTGTATACAATAAGCTATGTGAATGTAATTGCTGTGAAAATAAGTGTTAGAGGACAAAGGAAAATGGAAGTTGTATAGCCATTGGAAGCAGGGAAACACAGTGAAGGACTCAAGTTATTTTTCCTGAAAGATAAGCATGTAATTGTTATCCTTTACAATTCCTGTCTTGTGCAGTGACTTCTGCTTAATAGTTTTGATGGTCCTGTTGGGAATTCAAGATATATTGTTAGTCATGTCTCTTTAACAGTGTATATTTTACTATTGTTTAAATATTTTTTCTCACTGAACAGGATTTCTTTTGCATTTCCAAGGGTGTATGCTTTTTTCAAGGAAATATTATATATGCTGGAGCATTTACAGTATAGTTGGATACAGTTATTGAATTTTAAAGTTAGTTTGTTGTGATATAGAGCTCTTTTTACTATCTTACGCTCTGCAATTTTTGCAGCAGTGTTTCTGTTAAACTACTTTGCTATGTTTCAAAGGCCAGAATGTGCATTTGGATATGTGGTCCCTTACAACCTTAATTATTCTATAATTCCTTGAGCATCTTGGAACATCACAAGTCTACAACAAATTGGGATTGTGTCACTTAAATCCGTAGACTGATGCAAGGGCCACTGGCGTCAATAAGACTGTATGTATATTAGCAAGTCATGTGCAACTAGCATAAGGGATTTTGCTTTGCACTACTTCTAGTCTGGTCCTGTGGTCTGATTGTCCATCTGTAATGTAATGTACCTTCTAGGTTAGTTTCATTCAAGCAGAATTCAGAGTTCTCCAAGACAAATCTGCGAGGCATGAAAGGACGGTGAAGGGAGAAAACTGGGAGATATGCTTCAAAAGCACGTTCCTGGTCTGAAGTAAAATGTTAGTGTAAGCACACTGAGAAAAATCCACAGTAACAGGGTAGGAGATTGTCCTTTATTGGATTCTCAACAGGCTGAAAGGGTCCTTTTTGCAAGGTGTTTTGCAGGATTGATTGCAGCCTCTTGATAAGTGATGGAAGGCAAAACTCTGACTCACTCTCTGGGTTCTTCTTTTGGATAGCACAAAGGCCTTGCTCTGTAGGGAGGTAGCAGGAGGGAGCAGGACAGGAGTGTTGGAAGGTAGCTGAGAAATATTCTTCTTCCTTGTGGCTTCATAGTAATACTGTACATGTATCTTACCTTAAGGTGGGTAGGGAGTAAAATTCAATTAAAACTAAATTCTGTATGTTGGAAATTTAAATGGACACAAAATAAATAAAGGGAAGTCATAACTAAATCAAGAAACACAATGACATTCTTTCAGGTTAAGTTACAGGTTTGAACATATGTAATAAAAACATATCCAAATAGTAAGTTATTTAAGAGAGCCAAGGTAAACAGCTCAGTAATGAGTCAGAGCTACTTACTTTTACTCTATAATTTATATTTGCTTATAGTTTTTTCTTCTATTTGTCACAGGAGTATTCAATAAAGCTAAACCTTTAACCTTTTTTAATCTTAGATTCTTGATAATTTATCTCACTATGATAGGTTAGTTGGATGCTTCAGAATTAGGCAGGGAATAGCATTGGATATGCTATCTATAAACACTGTTTAGAAATTGATTCAATAATTTTAATTTTGTACATCACGTATTCACAAACCATTACTAATTGTTATGGAATTGCTACTACTATCATACATAAAATATATGTTTAAGACCACCTTAATGAAGACAACTGTTAGTTTCTGAATCTAGCCCCATTTTTCATGTTTTAATAAAAATAGAGAAGTATTTTTATCTTATTTTATTTCTGAATACATTTGTAATTGGTTGCTATGTTGTAGGCACTGAAGTAGTCATTGCCACTTTCCACTGCCTGTTTCCACTGATGGAATGCTTTACTTAAATAGTATTGCAGTTTCAGCTGCAGGGAGGTAATACTGATTGAAGTTTATCGTATATTAGAGGTGAGAGTGTTTTTTCCAGTCACTAGGTAGAGCACCAGAAGGGACTGTGTCATTGCATCAAACTGTTTTGTGCATAAAAATGTACAATGAAATACCAAAGGAGGAAACATTTAGAGAATTATGTATTTTACATGAGGGAATTCAGAGCTAAAGTTGGAGACCCCAAGACAGACAAGATATTTTCAGTGTTCTTATCGGATAGGTAGTTTGCTGCTTCATTATATGCCCATCTTTGGGGGAGGTGGGTGGAAAAATCAACCAGCTGAAACAAAACCAGAAGAATTTGCCTAGAAAGAAATACTGGAATTTCCTGATGTTCTGAAACAAGGGCAACGGCACTGATCTTCCTTGCTAACTGCCAATTGCACTGTCAGTAGTAATATGTATTGAAAATGGTAGCTTCTCTTTGCCCTCTGTTGATATCAGTTGGTATTTTGATGGTTCTAGGCCTTTTTAAGTACTCCTTTAAGGCTGAATTAAAGGCACCAAAAGTCATTGCAATTACCACTATTAGTGTATACTTGCCAGCATTAAAAACGTAAGAGAAAAGGAAATGGTACAATGGATTTTGTCTCGGTTTGACACATATCAGTATGATTCTAGCTAACAAATTAGATAATTGTGATGCTTCTGTGTGCATGTCTTGGTTAATGAATCCATGGACACCATAGTGGATTATCCTGGGAAAAGGCTGGTTGCTGGGAGAGAAAAAAATCAAAACCGTATAATGCACCCCTTTGAAGGGGGGCAGATCTGTTCTAATGAATGAAAACTTGTTTTGTTTCTAATCCAAGCTAATTTCTTGCTAGGATGATGTAGTTTCTTCCTGGGGCAGCTGGCAGCTTGGGTTTAATTGTCTGAAGACTTTAGTTATTTGGGCTTTTGCATCGTTTCCTGTTCTTGGGATAGTTCTGCATGACACTGGCCTGAGAAATAAATGGTGTTTGAGCAGGTTACAAAATAAACCACAAGAGCTATTTGCAATTCAATGTTGCTGTGTCTTGAAAGAACTGGAGATTTTGCAATCTCTTTTTATTGTGACTAAATGGATAGTGTATAATGTATATGAGTGTTTCAGAGAATATACTTTAGTGGAATCAAAATGATATCTTTATACTGGAAAGTCTTACAGTAACAGGTATGGAGACCTATTTTTTGAATGTGTCTCTGTCTGTTTGTAAATGATGTATCTTATTGTACACAATTTTTCTTAAGGCATCAGGAACTGAAATCAGGTGTATTTATTATTGTGGAGCAGTAGGTGGAAAGCTGCTTTGGTTCCTAGAAATTCAAATGACAAATAATTCCATATCATGAAGAAAGATATGCATGAATGAATGTGTGTAGGGAGAAAAGCCTTTATCAAACACTAGTATGTTCTGAATAGTTTTTAGGTTGGATGCATAAAATGTTTTCCTTTTAAATTCTGCTGTATTTTCAGATCATGCTAATTCTTTGCTTATTTTGCTCATTTTGCGTTTTTCATTCCTTCTCCTCCTTTCCCTTATGTTTTAATCCTACCCCATTTTTTCACATGACAGGAAAAAGCCAGATCACATCAGGTACCAACCAGCTTCTTTTATACCTTCCCAATGTTTCTTTGGCACGCAAAAAGCTCTCAATTAACCCTGCATTTAATTTTGATTACTTGCAATGGATGTATAAGTGGCTCAGTCTAAGAAAATAACAGAAGGATTCTGCCTGGGATGCCAGTATACCTGCTGCTCAACACCTTTAAAAGAATTAGAAAGATTGCGCTAGTTTTAGCTAAAAAGGAGTTAAAGCAAAGTTTCTGCACTCAAACGTCTGAGTGTACAAGATCAGTGTTTTGACTTTTTCCAATTGAAGTTGGTGAGATTTTTCTTACCAACTGCATTGGAAATATAGATGTAACTTTTAAATGTTGTGCATTCTTAATCACTCTGTTTTATTTGCGTGCTGATAGCAACTAGTGAAGAAAACTGTTTCCTTTTGAGAATCAATAAGCATGATTCATTTTTTATGTAAAACTCAATATTTAAATTTTATATTTCTTTTTGGCATTACTCTCAGAATTTTGTATTGTTTCTTATTTAAAAAATACTCTTTTGAATTGTGTAGTTATAAATGATGGAAAACATTCAGTTTCTAAACCCAAACAGCTATATTTAAGCACTACTGAGTGAGGCAGTGCAAATTACTTTAAGATTCCCCAAGTATGTTTTCTCCTTCACCATGCTTCTCTCCTATTTTTGACAGAATGACACATTTAAAGGAACTTTGATAATGGTCAGTACTTACTGCACACATGTTGCCTAAAGGTTTATGAACATTAATTTGTTAGAACAGGATAATGTGGTATACCCTGAAACAGCACCTTCATATATTGTACATATATTGTACCTCAAAATTTCCTGGCTGTTACTGCTGTAGACCCCCAGCAGTCTGTCTCCTACAGTAATGGGTAGGGTTTATTGATGGTACTTGGTTAATATGAAATAACTCAAAGTTTTTGGCCTGAATAAAACTGCTGTGGTGCTGTTGGAGGGCAGTCTGCCACTTTTATTTTTTCAAGCACACAATATAATGTATTAACTTTATTTTCTGTTGACATCTACTTCAAAAGTGTGATCTACAAGTTATACTACATTCTAAATTGTTGATCTTGTTCAATAAAAGGTTCTTTAAAAAAAAAAAATCTAAAGCCCCACACTTTTTGGCTGGACTGGAAAGTTCTCTTAAAACAGATTTAATTTCTCTACTAGGAAAAAAAGGGGCAGGAATACTTCGAAAGCTTCTAGACTAGGCTTTAAAGATGACACAATTTGTGTGCTCACTTATATGCAGTTGATCAGATTGGAGCTTATTTACTTAGTAACTCACTAAATATTTAGCTGTAGAACAAATGAAGCATTGCATTAATGAAGTTAATTACACTACCTAAGGCCATTATTAGGGATTTGCTCCATTGCATGTTATCTTGGGGCAAGGCTGCATTTTTTTTTTTTCCCTTTATCACTTAGGCACTGCTTTTCATGGTTTTTCTACTTGGTGTTATGTTCAAAAACAGCACATAAAAAAGCCTGAGTTTATTTTTCTTTTCTAGTCTGCTTTTTTGTTGAGTTACCTATTTAAATATTAGCAATAACCTGCCTTATACTCGTATTTGACGCTTAGTGAATGCATCAGTGTTTGTTTTTTTTTTTAAATAGATGGTAAAGGTAATACCTTTTAAATAGCAGTGACCAAAACTACTGCTGTTAATAAATTGAAAAAGTAGTTAACTTTTTGCATTATTCTGTTCAATTATCTTAACCCCAAAAGATGACTGTTATTATGTTGGAAATCCAGTATTAAAAGAAGATCCTGTTGTTGCTTTTTAAATTAAATATATCTGCACAACATTTGAAAAGACTAATTGTTAAAAGGTAGAATCTCATCTGTCTAACTAAGTACTAACTTTTCTAACAAATAGTAGATTTTCTGATTTGAATCTAACTTTTTTGTATATCTTAATTTTTCTTAAGAATCTTTGTGTGCTTCTTTTCATGAATGGCTTGTGGTGGTTGAATAAATATATGGAGCCCTCTTGTTACTAATAGCAGTAAACTGTAGCTTGAAGTTCAACAGCCTGTGGAGAATAACAAGATATGTTGCAATACAATATTTGTATACTGTTACCATTCAAATTAATTAGCAGTGCAGAAAAAAGTGATGCGTGGTATAAGTGGGGTATTTGAGATAATTGAGGAATTATGCTGTGATAAACACAGATTCACATTATAAGCCTGAACAAAACAAAAAAGTGTAAATTTCACTGCAGGACTGATTTATTTTTATATTCCTTTCATTTTTGGCAGTTCAAAACCAGTGATGATTGGTTAGCTTTAATTTATGCATCCCCAGAAGAGCTAGAAAGGGATGGTTATATTTGCTGGTTTTTTTTAATATTCAGTGGTCTGATAAAACGCAGATGTTAGAGATCTGAGGTGCTTGTAATTTTTTCCAAAATAGGAGTGATCTTTCCGTTCTCTGAATTTTATCCTGTCTGAACAGTGATTTTCACAAGGAAGGATACAGTTCAGAGGAGTTTTTAAATGTTATCTTTTGGATTTTATAGGATGCCTTCGTTAAATCTTTTATTTGATATTTTCCTACAAAGCTGAGGCTTTAGATCCTAATGGATCCTTCTTAAGAGGTTTTCCTTGGTTTTCTTTGGTTTTGTACACAATCTTTTTATTTCAGCAACTAAAATTTTAAGAAATACCAAATATAGAGAGACATTAAACCTACATGGGGTAGCAACACTGTAGTATTTTTAGTGCCTTAAGTTATTTCTCAGTTTTACTCTCAAAAATATTTCAGGAGTGAGTAGTTTACATAGTTTAAGTGTTTTTGTTATTCAAACTGTCTGAATTTGTGTTATCAAACAATTACTTACATTTGTAGCTTGCTGCTAAAATGCAGAAGTAAATGTTCTTTGAAATGAAAATGTTTTGTGTGATAGCTTAACTAATGTTGTCATAACATGAATGTGTTTGTTTAGGACTCAAATTATTTGAACCTTGCTTTCTTTTCTGTTTTGTCTCTGCTTTCCCTTTTTTCATTATTCATGAAATACTTGCCAAAACTGACTGCGGCATAACTTTTGTGTATTCTTTTATGCAGTCTCTCTGTAGACTGTATGTTAGCACATATTGGTCAAATAAGCACTGTAAAATCAGTTATGTATTCTCTGGATGTCTCTTTATTTGAATAGGCGCTGGTTCTCAATACAAAATAACCAACTTGTGTACCAGAAGAAATTTAAGGTAGGTATTAAAAACTGGCTTGGGATAGTTTGGGGTGTGGGTGTTGGTTTTCCTGATTGATCAGGGGAAAGGAGAAACAGTGCTGACATTGGCATCCTGTGTGGTCTTGAACAACCTACTGCATTTTCTAAATTAGTTTCTCCCTTTGTAAAATAAGCCTAATAGCTGCACTTACAGATTTTGAGATTCCTGCACAGTGACTTGTAAGCACATACTTTATTTGCTGTGGGTTTTGTTACCTTGTTGCAGAGAAGGTTTATGAAGAGCCTTGAAAGTTGTTGGTCCCAAAAGGCTATTACGCACTTGGTGGCAGCGAAATATTCCATGCTGTTCTTTGAGCAATTGTGTTCAACTCTTTCAGGACTTGCTCTCTCCAGTTACTTTACTGGGTTCACATACTCAATATAGCAGTTGGGGAGAGAGAGGGGGGGAAAAAAAGGCATGAAAGCATTTGTTATGAAACAGCCAGGGATGCTATGTACATGTATTTGATACTGAAAATGTAAGGTGGCTCAGCAGTCAATATCTGTCTCTTTGCTGGTGGGAAAGTACAGTTGTTGTATATTACAGCAGCTGGTGCAATTCTGCCCCAAGCTGTAGGAGCTAGCCTTTTCAATCAACATTTGGGCCCGTGCTCCTTTGTTTGCTGTTCTAGAATCTGCTTTTGCACCACATAGTTGTAACTGTTCTTCATGTTCGAAAAAACTAGATAACTGTATGGAGAAGGAAAAAAACAGAGGATAGAGCTTAGGCCATGTCGTTTCTCTTCAATGTTACAGACCAGGTTCGGAGGCTATTCCTTGTTATCTGATGCTATCAAATCAAGAGTCTTCATTTTTGTGGTTGGAAAGAAAACAAACAGTTGAGTTGGGCATTTTGTGAATTCCAGTTACATTTTTATGTGTTTTAAAAATGCACCTTTAAAATTCCGTTAGCTTAGAATAGAATTCTTACGAATTGAATCAAGTTTTCAAAACCACTGCATCCAGCTTCTGTGTTTTGTACTTGGCACTTATAACACTGCTGATTTAGGTATAATCTTTCTGATGTATTTGTGAGCTAATTGCATCTCTTAGAAGATATCTTTGAACTCCTTTGAATACTGTTGTTTAAATTTAAGGTGTTGATTATTTAGTGGATTGATTGTAGGTAAAAAGGAATTCTCCAAAGTTTGTATTAAACTTTCATAAAATATAACGAAACATTAAAATTTATCTAAATATTTCCTGCTAAGTATCTCTCATTCCAGCTATTTAAAATTTTATTTTTGGAGGAAAAATTTGTGTAAACAAGCAAATAGAGGAAAGATAATAAAGTTGCTAATAATCCCAAATTATTTATCATTTAATGCTATGTGACTTGTTTTGTTAATTTTTGTCTCTTAGGATAATCTCACAGTAGTTGTTGAAGACTTGCGGCTTTGCACGGTTAAACACTGTGAGGACATAGAAAGACGTTTCTGTTTTGAGGTGGTTTCTCCAACAAAGTAAGGAGAAGTGATGGAGCATGTTTATTTCAAAATAAAAAAATCATTACATTCAGTTGTCTTGAAATGCAAGATTAACATTTCTCTTGGGATAGATCAAAACAGGAAAACTATCTGAACAATTTTGTTTTCTGAAATTTTGGCTAAGAATAAGTGATGTTATGAGAAGTGTTTCTAGTATTTAGTTTACTTTTGGCATTAAAATAAACATGCATTCTTGTGCTTTATGCATAAATGGCTTGTGTTTGTGGAGCTTTTGCGGCTTAGTAGTAGCTGATACTATCAATAAGTTGTTGTCTCAGTAGTGTTAAATTACATTTCGGAATGCACTAAGTGAAACTACCAAATAAAAATATTTTTCAGCTCTAGCAGTGCAGTGTATTGGTTATATTTGGAGAAGTATGGCAGTCTTGCCGCAGCCAGGGTGCAGGACATGGATTTCTCATTAGTGGTTTTGAGATGTGACCATATTTAAATTTTTGATATAAGGTCAACGTGCTTTTAGGTGTGGATGTTACCTACACTCCCCACTCCTACTTACATTTCTCCTCTTAACAGATTGCTGTCCTAATGTTTGCATCCTCAGTTGTGGTTCACTTTACCATGCATTTTGCTCCTGCTCACCTATACCTTTTCAGCCCATAAGTGTTGGAACAGTTTTATACTTCGTGACCTGTTGCCTTTGACTGTTGGTGTGAAAAGTAGTTCATTCTTTGTCAGAAAGCTTTAAAGTCATTTTCTCTTGATCTCAGTGAATGAACTGTGTTTTCAAGGACCGATACCTGTATCTTGTGTAATTAGTCATGGAGGTAAACTGCATGTGAGGATATAAAAATGAAAAATTTGGAATAAGAAGAGAAAGGGAATAGGAAGCTAAACCATTCTCTGGGTTATTTGAAGAGTCCTATCTATGTATTTTAGCATTACCTGCAAATAGTTTTGAAACAAGGAGTTTGCAATTCATAAAGAATCAGCTGCTTTGTTACCTCAAAATAAATGGGTTTATTAGATGATGCCTACTAAACAATATACCTGTGGTAATAGCAAGAAACTTTTTCAAGAGTCTGTATTTTATTGAACAATGTGGTGTTTTATGTTAGCTGCTTGGTCAGTCTCTCTGAATCTGAGTACGCATGTATTTGTCACAGAAGCTGCATGCTTCAGGCTGACTCAGAAAAGCTGCGACAGGCATGGATTAAGGCTGTTCAGACCAGTATTGCTACAGCATATAGAGAGAAAGGGGATGAATCTGAGGTGAGTTTAAAAACCAACCAAACAACAACCCTCCCTTTAGACCCTGGAAATTAAAAATAGAGAAAACCTCTTTTTATGAGAGGGGAGGAAAAAAGAATCCATTGTTTGTCTTCCAGTAGAAATGCAATGAAATTTTGAAGGCTATGATTTATATCTAATCTATGTTTCGCTCCATCTTACTAATGTTACTTTGGCCTGTACGTTTTGATGAGATTTTTCTGTAGTGTGATTAAAATTCATAGGATTATTGGGTATTCCTATATTCAGTTCTATATTTCTTCTAAAAAGCTAAACATTTTTTGAGTTTTATGGTTTTCCTTGGCCTTAAATGCAGAAGTTACTTTTCTAGGCTTCTAGTGCACTGTCAGTATCTGTAGGACTTATTTCTTTATGTGTGTCTCTTTGTTTGTTTGTTTTCTTTTTTTTTAGAAACAGGAAAAGAAATCATCTCCTTCTGCTGGAAGCCTAGAATCTGGCAGTGAGACAAAAGAGAAGTTGTTAAAGGGAGAAAGTGCTCTACAGCGTGTTCAATGTATTGCTGGTAATGCTGCCTGCTGTGATTGTGGTCTGGCAGACCCTCGCTGGGCCAGTATCAACCTAGGAATCACGCTGTGCATTGAGTGCTCTGGGATACACAGGTTGGGGAACTCTTCAGAACTATATTTGATTTGTGCATTGACTTAATTAGGAAGGGTGGTGTTTGCCTCTTCAAATATATATTGAAGCAAGGTTAGAGACTCCTGTTTGTAAACAGAATTAAGGTAACTGCTTTATTTGCATAAATTAATGGTAAAGCTGTTTGAGGTAAGACACAGCATGCAGTTACAGGTTAATATTTTTTCATGCTGTTTAGGAGCTTGGGAGTCCACTTTTCAAAAGTAAGATCTTTAACGCTGGATTCATGGGAACCTGAACTTCTAAAGGTATGATAGTATTTTTGAAACAAGTTTCTGTTTGGTATTTAAGATTGGTGTTTTAAAGCCAATGCATCAGAAAGTTCAATATAGGAAACACTTGCATTTGTACCCAGTGCATGTCTTTAACTTTCTACTCGAAAGTGCTTATAGTTGTGTGGTGGTTTTTTTTTTTAATTCACACTTTCTTATAATACATGCAGTAGCAGTAGTCATTCTTGTTATAAACTTGCGAGTCAGAATACCTTATGACACTTTTGGGTTTGCAAATGCACTTTGAGTAGTAAGTTTCATCTGATGCTTTCAATATATAAAAATGGAAATCTGTTTACAGACCGATAATATAGTGGGCTGAAAAATTTTGGAAGTGCTGTATCAGCCTAAAGCATGATCATACTTGAAAATTCAGATGTCAGCTCTTACAGTGAGATCTTGATTTCGTACTCGTACTGGCTTATAGGAGAATGTTCATGCAACTGCTCTTGCGTGCTATTTGTGTGCCAAAATTCTAGCTTGAAACATGGTTATGAAAATCATGTGACACTGAAATACCGAAATAGGAACTCACACATGGATGCATGTGTGCAACTGAGTAACTGATGCAAAGCATTTGTTTCTAGCTGTGATGGTCTGGTACTTAGGTATTGCTTCTGTATTCTGAACAATCAAAAGACAATGTGAGTAGGGGTGTTTCTCTTGTGGTTTGACCTTAAATAATTTTAATATCAATGCACTCATGCTGAGGAAACAAACAAACCCCAAAACTACAGCCCTTGTCTTGTTTATGTAAATACCAGAGCTGAATATTCTACCTGGTATTAGAAGCAAGAAGTCTGTTCATTGCCATCAGTAAGTTGGACTTCATGGGCCAAATTCTCCTTAAAGTAGTATCTGCAGGCTGTTGTTTGTCTTTGATCTTTTTCTATAGGCATAACAGATTATGGTTTAGCAAAAATGTCTGTTGGACAAAATGGAATAAAATTGATTGAATTGTTTCTTGCCAATGAGGTAAGAATAGCTACTGGCAAAGCTGGTGGAAGAGAGTACCTCTGTTAATGAGGCCTGCAGATGTCATTCTGATGGCACAAAAAAGATTCTTGAATGACAGATGGTAATTTTTGCAGTCCTTTTTCAGAAGGGAATGGCACTTTAAAAGAGTGACTGTATTTTTTGCTATCTTACTTAGAATTTGGTCTCTCTATTCACTGATTGTTTCATTATCATGATACAAACCCATGCTTATTTCTGTAAATGTACTTTTACCAGTGAAAATACTAAGTTGTAAAAATAGGCTGAGTGAGGTTAAAAACAACTAAATAGGTAGATAAAGCCTTTTGCAACTGTATTTGAATTTATTTATTTTGCTTCATAGCTTATGTGTGAATTGGGAAATGATGTTATAAATAGAATATATGAAGCGAAGTTGGAAAAAGTGGGAGTAAAGAAGCCACAACCTGGAAGCCAAAGGTAGTGATTTACTAGCAGTGCCTCTTATTTCCTTTTCTTGTTGCTTCCTTCAGCCTCCAGCTTTAAAAGATGCTGCCAGTTAACTGTGTAACACTCCTTTGATTTACTCTTTGCTTCCCCTTATCACCAGTATGTTTTGCTCTCCCCCTTTTCTCACTCTCTGTCTTTATTGGGTGTTCCTTGTGTTGGTCCCTTTCGGCTTCTCTTGTTCATTTGTTCTTTTTCTGATCTTACTCCCTCCTTTTGATGACAACTCTATAGCATCCTGTTCTGTCTCATCAACGTGGGCATGTTAATTTTGTCTACTTCCTACGATCTCAGCCAGCTGTACTTGGTCTGTGAGTGCTCCTGGAAGGAGCCTGCAGCTGTGCCTTTTGTTTACAGTGACTTTGTTTTTGAGTTTGACTTTTGTTCCCTGATCCCCAGAATGTTCTCTTCTTTCTGCCTACATTGTACATGAGCTCTGCTGCTTTACAGCAACCTTCTAATGATTGTACTGCTGTCTTCCATTTCTCTGATGCTAATTTGTGTTTGAAGGTAGTTTCCTAATGTTTTGTTCTGCTGTATAAGATGTCTTTTAAAACTTTTTTTTAACCAGCTTTCCAGTTTTGTGCTGCTTGCTGTCCGGCAGTTTTATGGTATAAAAAACAGCGTTTTATAAAGTGTTGGTAATTTGGAGACGATGATAATATAAATAATGTAGGAGATTTGATAGGTATTCTTTCTAATAGTAACTGCTTTTCAGCAGTAATACTTTTATAGCCCCTTTCATCAGTTTGTCACAACCGGTGTGTGTGTCTTAAGATGATAACCTCAGGTTATAAGAAAAAATATTTCAGTATACGTTACAGAACTGGTGGCTGTGCCTACCTGAGGCTTATTATTGTTATGGTTCTCTTGTGCAATCTTGATGTTCCTTTAATGAATGTTGCAATTTGTATTTACCTAGGAAACTAAATATATGCTATATTAATTCATTATTAACAATATAAAACATGTATAAAGGATTAATACCAAGCAGTAACTAATGCTTATTTCTTCCACATACCACTTTCTAAAGTCTCTGCCTGAAAGAAAATATACATATATGAACTTAACAAAATTACTTTCTTTTGAGCCTTACGCAAAATTTAATCAAGAATCCAGAGAGAGTTAGACAGTGTGCTTTTCATCTTTCTGAAAATGTGCTGTAAGTGTGTCTCATGTGCAATGCCGAACTACAATTTTGGTTACTGGCTTTAGTATGAAATAGATGTTCTTTTAATACATGAAAATACTAAAATATTAGCTTACTAACTCCAGAGCTTTTGTATATGACAGGCAGGAGAAGGAGGCATACATCAGAGCAAAATACGTGGAAAGAAAGTTTGTAGAGAAGCAGCCTGCATCAGTATCTCTGCTTGAATCTGGAACAAAAGCCTTGCCTCAAAATCAGGAAGAGAAAAGGCACAGTGGCCCTGAAAAATCCCTTTTGGCAGGGGAACAAGGTGCGGCATCCCAAAAAGGTATTTACACACTTCTCTCCTTAGCTGTATTACACGTGTTCTTTTTAAAGTAACATATTTATGTATTGATTGATTTCTGGCCTCGTGCAGAGAAATTGGAATCTGTCTTTTAATGGGTCATAGACTAGTTCAGAAGTATAGGGGAGAAAAAACTTGTTCAGAGATGTGCATTTTTCGGTGGGGAAGAATTTGGAGTGGGGATGCTTATCATTCAGAAGCATATTAACCACCTTCTTTCCTCCGTATTTTCATCCTTCTTAATTTTTCCAATAACGTTCTTTCCTGCCCTATCCCTTCCTTACTGCGTGCTTTGTGCTTTGCTAACTTGCATGTCCCAGCGGTTGCTGTAAGTAGCGACGAGGCGAGGCGGGAGTCTCTGTTCTGTCCTGATGAACTAGATTCACTCTTCTCCTACTTTGATACCTCTTCAAAACTACGTAGTAGTAAGTACTACAGCTATGGCGTGTTCAGTATTTGCGCTAGTGATCCATTGTGTGTTGTGGCCATCTCCCTGCCTTTAATCCATTGTCTCCAGGCTACTGCATTGCTTAATGTTTTCATGAAATAATTTAAGCTTTTTTACTTATCCTGATCTTTTCCTTTCTAATAATCTTTGACATTATTATTATAAATGTTACGGTTGCAATATGAGACTTCATATTTTTCTGTGGATGCATTAAGCATATTGAATAATGACTAGACATTTAAAAAAAAAAAATGTATTCAGGACCAAGTATAAGAGCTTGCTTTATTATCATGGTATCTGTGAAGAGTGGGTAACTTGCAGTCTGTGTAGTAATTACAGTTTCTCCTCAAAACAGTACGAAGCAGTGACAGTGGGATCCAGCAGAGTGCTGATGACAGCAGGGAACACCTTAGCTCTACTATATCAGCTAACAGTTTGTATGAACCAGGTGCGTTAGCCTTTGCACTTTAAGGTGAAAATGTAATAACTTCTTCCTGGTAGCATGTTCTTATCAGAGATGAGTACTTGGTGATACAATTCATGTCTCTTCTATCCTGGTGGACTGAAACATTTTTAACAAGGGCAATAATTGCTTGACTGACCTTTCTCTCCTCCAGGCTTGGTAGCAAGAATGACATTGAATCCTTCTAAACGAGTTCAGAGAATTCTGTTTTTTCCAGTCAGATGATACTGAGCCAGAACTTTGTTTTTTAGCAGATAGAGCAATGTTGCATTTTGATACAGACAAGTCTCCACAGAAATGCATAATCCTTTTATAAATAGTTAAATCCTTGGAGATGGAATTCCTGTTAAGTCACAGATAATAGGCTTTTATGTTATTTGAGCATTTTGCTTAATTCTTCTGTTTTCTACTTACATGGAATTGACCATGTCTTTGAACATTACCCCCTCTTTACTCAAACTTTTATAAATTGAGTGATGAAATTATTTGCTATCTAATATTAGCATCCTGGGCTGACAGATGTATTGAGTAGGGCTTGTCAAAATATCCAAAATATTTATTCATAAAGCAAACTTATTCTTCTACATCAAAGCACTCTTCTGAGGTATGTTTTAAATCCAGTAGTTCACAGCTGTGGTTTGTAGGCAGGCAGCAAGTGGCTTGGATCCTTTCCTTGGCTGCATGGTAGAAACACTTAGATCTTGTAACTCATGAAAACTTATATATAACAATTGTCGTTATCTCCCAGACTTCACTGTGTATAACTCTTATTGAGATGAAGAAGAAAGATTATGCTTTAGTCCAGAAGATTATGGCCACAGCAAGTAATTGGTAAATGACAATGGTATCTTTTAACAAAAATTAGGTCAGAACAGTATTAGCCTCATATTCAGGTGTATCAAGCTGTTGCAGATAAAGATATCTTTGTATGACTACGTCTCTGCAGGAAACTAGTTTTATTCATATCTTGCAGTATAGGATAAAACAATTCTAACCTAAAATCATTTCTTAGAAATTACATGAAATAGGTAGACTGAAGGATATTCACACGTGCCAGTAATGTGGAGAGAATGTTTTCTGGGAAGTATTAATTCTGTGAAGTGGCCATGCCTGATTGCTGGAACAAGCTAAAGGCATCTGTGACTTCTGGCAGAATGGGGCAAAAATGCACAGCATTCTGCAAAACCTGAGCTACCTTATGCCAGAGAAATTACATTTTTGGTCAGAATTCCAGGAGGTACCTTATAAAAACAGGGATTAGATAAGCAATTTTTTTTTTTCTTTTCAGAAGGAGACAAGCAAGAGTCTTCTGTATTCTGTGACTCCAAACAGCCTAGTCCAGGATTGCAGCTGTATCGAGCTGCCTTTGAGAAGAATCTTCCTGATATGGCAGAAGCATTGGCCCATGGAGCTGAAGTAAACTGGGTCAACATAGAAGAAAACAAAGCAACACCACTCATTCAGGCAGTGCGAGGGGTATGTGATATACAGCACCGACTGCTGTGGGAGGAGGCAAAGGGGAGTAACAGTGTCACTGTCCCTTTTGAACTGCTTGCTTTGCTAATGAATGATAATGTGATGCTGAAGTTGTCTTTACAATGGTCTCTCAGAGTTGTTTCTGAACTATTTTTTTCTTGTTAATGCTTTGTTTGGAATTATATAACCTAGTAGCGCTAAAATTTTATATGGAAGCAAACCCCTTTTGTTTCCTTTGCCCCATGACTCAGTAGTGAGAAGGCAGAACAGGTTTGGCTGTTATTCTGGAGATCTGGTGCTGTATTGTTTCTTTGCTTTTATTCTGTAGGGTTCGTTGGTTACTTGTGAATTCTTGCTGCAGAATGGGGCCAATGTGAACATCAGGGACATGAAAGGAAGAGGACCCCTGCACCATGCCACAGTTCTAGGACACACTGGGTAACTCACTGCTCCAGAATTTGTAAATGGCCATCCTTTACTATAACTGTTAATGTGAAGCTTCTTCATTTCTCCAAATATTCTGGCATTTTAATGTATTTCAGGTGATCTAGGTTTTTCTTAAACTCTTGTGGTGAGAGAGGAAATAACATTTTGAATTAGCAGTCTCATCTGCTAGCAAAACACAAACCTATAAACACACTTTGGTCCATTTTGTAAAAATATGTATTTAATAATGCTTTGAAATAGCATGAACTTTTGGTGAAGACTCATGAGATTCTTCTTGTGTTCTTAAGAAATATGACACAAATAGGAGAAACAGTGGTGTGTGAGGGCCAGGCTTTTTCTGACTCATCCCACCTGTGTGTTGCACTGAGAGTGTATCTCATTTCAAAATGTACTGCATTACATCTTGAGTTTTGGAATCATGGCTTTTAACTGAAATCCTGTACCATCTCAATTCAAATGAGGACGACATAATCTGGTTGGTGGTGCCCAAACTCTTTGCATGCATGAATTCTAAATAGAGTGCAAGTTGACAGCTTGGGAGAGTTTAAGACTTAAGCTTAGCCAGTATGCCCTGATTATAAAGATGAAGAATTATAATAGCAGAGACAAATGAGATCAGTTTCTACTGGGTAAATCAGGCACCTGTGAACTGTGTTCTTCACTGCATTGATTTATCCTGCTTAGTGGTTCTTGTCTGTCATGGTAAAAGGGATGAAGTTTTTTGGTTCTACAACCTAAGATGATATGGGAAGGTTAGAGTCTCGCTTCTAAAGGGTTCAACTCCTTGCTGCACTAGTGTGATTTGACTTAGGCTGTCTTTCTAATGTGGATTAAATAATTAAAGGTTTTGCTTACTACTGTGTTAACATGTTAGTTGTTAGATGAATAGTTGTAGATGAATAGCACTGTTTTGATGTTCAAGAGACTTAGCAATTTAAGCCAAATACATTGCATCCAGCTTGAATTTATTTGCTTTTTTCCTTTATTGTTGTGAAAATTATTCTTAAATGCTTTTTCTAAACAGACAAGTGTGTTTATTCCTAAAACGAGGAGCAAACCAGCATGCCACTGATGAAGATGGGAAAGATCCATTGAGTATAGCAGTAGAAGCTGCAAATGCAGATATTGTAACATTGTAAGTTGTATGTTCTGTTTTTAACTAGGTAACTAGGTTTTCCTATTCTGTTTCAAGTAGAAAATATAAGAAATGTCAAAACTCCTTTACATAAAAACGGAGAGCAAAAGAAAAATCAAAGAGAGTGCACTATCCATAGATGACATCACTGGTGTAAGGTTCAGGAGTGCACTGTAGGTCTTGAATTGCAGTCTTTTTTAGTGCTTTAAAGATGACATTGTTCTTTTTATTTCCTAAATCATAGGTTGCGTTTAGCAAGGATGAATGAAGAAATGCGTGAATCGGAAGGACTCTATGGACAGCCAGGTCAATACTCCACTAATAACCATACTGAAATGCAGTATAAGAAGTGTATTCAGGAATTTATCAGTTTACAATTAGATTCTTAGGAGCTGAGGGAAATTTAAGATAGCTTCATACAATAATGTTTTTATAAACAACTGACACATGTTAAAGCTTCATTAAAATTCACTGGTGTGACTTTGTCAGAGTATTTAGGGGACTTAAAAGGAGAGCATTTAAAGTACATTATTATAGTAGTGTATGTTAGTACAGCCATTACCAACCTGTTTTGCTGGTAGTTGTCCACAGTTTTCTCCTATTGATGTTCCATTGAAATTCACGTAATGTTAGGATTTACCTGACGTTATTTAATAGCAGCCTTCTGACCCAGGTTGCTCAGAGACAGTTCAGGAGTTCATCTTATTACAGGATACCATTCTCCTTCCTGTGGAATGGTCCTCTTTTTCTTTTTTAAGAAAAAATGCTTGCACACCAATATAAAAATGTACATAGAATATTTCAAAGTAACTCCAGTCAGAAATAGGAAAGTATCATTTCCTCAAATTTTATTTTAAAATATTTTTATTTAAGATGCAAATAAGAAACAAACCAGTCATTCTTAGGTATGTATTTTTGTATGCATAGTATCTTACCATTTGATTTAAAAAAAAAAAAAAAAAAAAAAAGAATTGGCAGACATTTGAGCCAACTGGTACAAGAAAGTAACAAATTATATTTAATGAATATGTGCAACTTTATCCTCAGGCACTCAGTCCCAATTTACACTATGTTCTGATGTGATATTTATGAAAGCCATTTCTTCTATTATGGTATGCTTCCATAGGAACCTAATTTAATCTCATGCAAATATCAATAATGAAGGTGCACTTGAGTGTCAAGTTAGACAGCTAAAAACACGCCGCTATACCTGGCAGTATTGAAAGGCAAACCTTATTTTTAAGGTTGAGTGCTGAGTACTCTTGGCTCACCCCTATAAAGCCCTTATGTATTTTCAGCTGATTCATAAGGATTGTGTGTGCTTATGTCTTTTACCAGTTTGGGGCTGGAATATACTCAAGGGGCAACATTGAGTCTCATGTCAATATCCCAGATGAACTCTATTAAATAAACCCAATTTATTTATTTCATAAAGTTTCTCCTTAAGAATAGATGTTTTTCAAATTTATTTTTAAACAAATCTTCTAGGAAATTCAAATTAAAACAATAAAAGTACTGTAGACACTCAGACATTCAAATGCTTTCTTGGGCAGAGCAACAGATAATTTGGAAGTATATAATTGATTATGAGCTTAAATGAGGAAGGATTCCCCACTCAGAAAATGCAACAGGCTATGAAAAAACTCTAGTGCTGGTTTGGCCATTTTAAATGTAAAGCTGTTTACCGATATAATACATACTACTATACTGAGAGGCTGAAAGTAACAAATACTGAAGTATTTTTGAGTCTCCTCCTTTTTATTTTAAGAGGTAAAAACAATAACTGTCAGTTTCAAATAGTAGAAAGCCTTTTTTTAAGGCAGGTAGGTATTTTCATTCAAAAGCTTTGTGCTAAATCATAATGAATAATTTAGATCATTTAATGGACTTGTCATAAATGCAAAATTACTATAAACCAGAAAATGTGTTTCTATAGTCTGTACAGAAAGCCTCAGTTGGTTACTAAACGTTACAAATATTTAGTAAAATGTTTCATTCATAACAAATACAGGCACTACTTACATGAAAATACGAATGTGTTTAAACTGGAGATGGGGGAGACTATTTTCCCTGACATCTTGTTTAAAATATTTTTTTAGACTGATTCTTCAATTAGGTAGATGAAATAAAAAGCTGCCTAAGTCTTTCACTGAAAATATCTTGACCTTTTTATCAGTTTGTATTACAGTAGAATCTAGAGACTGCAGTTGATACAATCGGATCCAGATATTTTACAGATAGTCTCTGATCCTTGTAAACAGGCAAGATTGACAATGGAAAGTAGAGCTGCTACAAGGGATAGAGGTTGCCAAAATCAGGGAGAGGGTGTCATTAAAGTAATTTTTGAAATTTAGGCCACAAGCTGTAGCACAGTGTCCCAGCCAGGAGATCTTACTGTATGTTTGGATAGTATATCTCTGCTCTCCTTGATTCTTTACTTGCTGAAATCTCTTTTAAAAGTTGAAGTAAATATTTGAGTGTTTTAAATGTTGATGTCTGCTAGCCTGCTAGGAGGGTTGTGTAAATGTGTAAGTGTAAGCACAAAACCTGTCTCTGCTGTTGCAAGGTATGATACCTTTATGTGGTCATAGAGGAGGCAGGTCTTTTTCACTGCATATACATGTTAAATTATCTGCCCTGCCCTTATTTTAGAACTGCTCTTTTCTAAAATTATTATTCTAGAAGAAAGTAAGGATTTTCAAGACAACTGTATGTTTGCGGGGAGCTATGTGAGGGTAAATATCAATGTATGGGTTTGCTGTCATCAAAGTGAAGCCAGCCGCATATTTCTCCGCTTTAGTAATGCAGTTGATAAACAATTACTGATGTAGCTAATGGCATCAACATTTCTGATTTTAAATATACCTAGCTTGTTTGAGCTACTGAGAGAATGTATATGTTGCTTTGCAAGGTACAGTTGGTTTTCCAAAGTATTTCTAGAATGGGAACTAGCTGAAACTAGCTTGTTCCACAAAAAGTTCATTTCTGGTGGTAGAAGCCATATGCACCATTGTATTGTTTCTTGCATAATACTTGAGTGCTCATCTTCTGGTGCTACAGTATGTCTGCTAACTATTTGATATTAGTATTGCTATTTTTTCTTCCTATCTTTTCTTGAATGTATGATGTGTGCCTTTTGAGTTACTCTGGTGTTAAATGGTAAAGCAGTGTTCTAGTATTTTTGTACATAAAATCTGCACTTTAGGGAAAACATTGCTTGGAAAGGGAATTTCCAGACTTCAATTTTAAAGTAGGATTTTAAAATAATTATAAGGTTTACAGTATTAAGTATTTTAATGCAGCATACAAACTAAAGGGGCACTTTATTTTAGTCTATTTTTGTATGTAATATTTTTGTTACGTAATAGAGCCAAAAACAGAGCCACAGTGTATCTTGCAAAAATAGCTTTTGTTTTTTCTTTCAAGTTAATATGAAAGTTAATATGAAAGAACCAAATATGGCAACTTGAACTACAGTATTAGTTCACCAGTGGAACCCGCTTCTGTATTAAAAGCATAATTGCTTTTATTGTACAAGCTTGATTCCAATTTGTGCTCTTTATAGCTGTTCTTTTGGTGAATGTTACAACTCCCTTCATTCTGTGCTTATCTCCCAGTGCAAGCAGTTATCAGAAACTGTTACAATAAAATATGTCCTGTGCCTGCTTCATCTCTAGAATATACTTGAAACTAAATCTGAAAACCAAAAGGGAATTTCACTAGAACTAACTTTTCTTAGTAGAGCAGTGTTGAATCTATTTATCTTCTAAAGTCTGGAAAGAATTGTGTCATTGCATTTTTATATAAACCCACATGCCATGCATGTTAAATATTTCTGGAAGGTCAGTTATAATTTCTGAAAGTGTTTTCAAATGAATGGAGTCTCATCTCCAAAAGAATAATAGTTCTAATATTGGAAAGATGGAAATTTTTCCTTTAAAAGGTGGAAAAACAAAACAGTGTAACTTTTAAACACAAAAAAAATCCTTTTAAAAACTGCCCTTTGGAAAAAAGTGGTGGAATAATACTTTTCTTCTGCAATCATATTGGGGGAAAAAAAATCTTAATGTTTAACATTCATGATGAGAGAGATTCTGGGTTGATTTCTTTGTCATGCTATTAATCAAGCTGTCAGCAAGGAACAGTAATGCTGGGATCTTGTGTCCTGTGTGGTCATCTGTGTTGGGAAGACAGTAAAATCTGGATGGCTGCATAGCTCCTGACGGACCAAATGTTTTATGCATTTAATTCCCTTTGAAGGCAATAGGGTATGGTTAATGTTTTAAAATGAAACCTGAACTCAAAGCCCAAAATGCTGCAGCAGGTGAAAGAATGTGAAAATGTCCATTTTAAAGTGGCAGAAGAATGACTTGGCAATGACTTAAGAAGTAATCATTCCTGAATATATTTTCCTGTGTAGATGGGGAGGGGGAGGGAGACAGGCCTGGTGGAAATTGCTGCCGTCCCTCATTTTGGAATATGTACTAGTAGTCGGGTTGTGTTTAAGCACAAAGGGTGAAGATAAAAAACCAAATGAAAGATGTTTAAGGAAAGTATCATCACTCTTATAGGTAAAACTAAAAGATGTAATGAATGTTCAGTAATGCATGTAAAAATTTATATTTGCTGAAGTAATAGACCAAAAGGATTTATGAACAATAATTTGTTTACTTAGGATTGCTTTTTTAATACTATTGCTTGCTGATTGTTTCTTTCATGGACAGTTCTGTCTGGCTGTAAGACTTCTAACCTTGGTTTCCAAGTAAATCTTTATTTATGCCATAATTCTACTTTTCTGCAGAGAATCTTGGTTAGCAATTCCTTGCAAAAACAAGGATTTTATTCTTTAATAGCTAATAAACATTTTTCTTTTTACATTGCTTTAAAATGCTTTCATTTTTCCTTTCTAACTCTGAACTTTCCTCTGTGTGGCTGCCTGTGAGGTACTGTATCAGGTATAGTTTGGCTTTGTTTAATTTGCTTCTACAGAACGTGCATGCAAGTAAACAGTCCCAGAGAGTTCACATCAGCATCATTCCATCTATAAGCAATCTTTATACATGAATAAGTGTTATACAGTAATTGGTAGTGCCGTAGGGCATTTGTGCAATGGTGGGTGATGTTAACTGTCACAAATATTTAAAACCGTTTCCCTTTTCTTTTCTACCTAGGAGATGAAATTTATCAGGACATTTTTCGTGACTTTTCTCAAATGGCATCAAATAATCCAGAGAAGCTAAACCGTTTCCAGCAGTCAGATTCCCAGAAGTCTTAAGTATTAAGAAGGAAAAGAACCTGATCCTTATAGTGCAAGTCTTTTTTTTTTTACTTTAACAGAATGAATTATATACATTTTGTTAGATAGTTTCGATAAAATGACTACTCTAATGTAGCTTTAGATTGTGGTAGCTGGGGAGACGTATGAGTTGTTTTATGTTCTACAGTACGTATACCTCAGCAGCTGAAGAAAATGTTTTAAAAAAGAAATACCTAATAGCTCAGTATAAAAATAGTACCTGTTAGCAAGTACAAAGTTTGCCTGTGGTTCATACATAGAGTTAGCAGAGCGTGCATTGCAGACTCCGGATGGCAGGATGATCAGACCAGCTTTGCTATTTAGTATTCCCTACTGTCACCTGTCTCCCTATTGCCATAAAGAATGTGCCTCTGACAAGAAGGTCTGGGTTGCATTTTCTGGGACTGTTTGGAAGGGAAATCGGGTAATGACTTACTGAGTTGTCCTTCTGTTTGTGGGCCTGTAACTTAACAGATTTCTCTTGTTCCTATGCTGACTGTGGTTAGAGGTAAGCTGTTGATAACAAGACATGGTAACTTCTGCTCTTTTGCAAGCTTTTTTTCAGTGGAAGCTTTAACACCAGGCTGGCCTTTATGCTAGTGACTGCGGGTCAGTCACAGTAGGTGTATACCCTGGAGGACCAAACTTCTAAGAGCAATCTTTTTTCATTTTTTTTCTGTTAAATTAAACCTTCTGTGCAGCAAGTATACTTTTAAATGAGCATGTGGAACCTTTCATGAAAAATAAACTTAATCCTGCTGGACATGATGTGGGGTTTGTTTGCAGTATTTGGACATCAAAGCCTGAAATTTGAGACATAAAAGTAAATACTGAGCCAATGAAGTTTGTGTAGAGCAGTTGTATGAAGGCTCTTTGTTACCTTCTCTTTTTGCTGTTCTCACTACTAGCCCTAAGCTGAATATGTAACATCTCATATGTAACGCAGCCACCCTAAATTTAGGGCAATCAATCCTTTATATCAGGAAGCAGTATCCTTTATATAATCTGCAAAGATGTGTATATATACGTCTTGTCTAAACTAAGGTGTGCACAAGAACTAGGAATGTCACTGCACATTTTTGCCAAGTAACGAATGAGCATAGTCTCCAGCTGTATTCTGAGGGCAGCAGCACAGTTTGCTTTATTCAATAGTGAGCTCCTCTCTACTGATGTGCATGTGGAAATGGTGTCTGTAGATACATGCTTATATGTCAGGTTATTTAATACCTGGATAGTAATCACCTGAAGCCCCAAACCAGCAGATGCAATTCTTTATGCTCTATTTGTCTTCCCTGTGGACAACTTAAGGAGAATTTTTAGGTAACATAGTATCAATGTGAGTTTTTAATAATCCTAATAGCCATGGCATTATGCTAACCTGCTGTTTAAATGTATTTAGGAAATGAATTGGCTTTTCTCCAAGCTGGCTAAGATAAGCAAAATTGGGTAAAAAATTTCTGTAAACTATGGTGAAATTAAACTTTCTGGCATATTAAATTTTAACAAGGTATTTCAAATATTTATAATTTTGCATCAAATGTATAATAATGCATCAAATCTGGATGATTATTGCTGCAAAGTTAATAGCATTTTAGAATTGTCCAATAGATTCTTTTTCCAAGCAGAAGAATCTTCCAAAACAGTTCTTGCTTCTTGTGTGGTCTAATTATGCTAGGAAAAGCAGATTCTGCCCATTTAAAGAGTGCATTTATTCTGAATAATAAGAAACGTAGGAATATCCGCTTTAAGCAGTAATTTCTAGTAGGTTGTTTTTTAAATAGCTGTCTATGAAATTATAATATACTTCCTAATCTGCAGTATTTAACAGCAGTGGATGTTTTAGTAGATCTTAGAGAAAGTAAAATTCCCAGTGTACAGATGGGACAATGTAAGATATGACTATGTATAGTATACACTTTAAGCATAGGTTTTTCTAAAGATTTGTCTTTTGCAGCCTACATGATAGGCAGTATATAATGTGATTGGCTGTAATGTAAAACTACCTAAAGCTTAATGGCATAATCGCTATCTCAGTCTATGCTGCTGGAAAAATGTCTGAGACACTTATTTCAAATCTCCACTGGTATTTTCCTTCCTAGTCATAAAAAAACTCCATCACAAATTTTGCAGGACAACTTCCTGTAGACAAAAAGTTTCTTCCCTGTAGCTCTGCAGATCCATGTGCTGCATTTCCAACTCTCATCTGTCTGGGAAGCAGTATCAGTCTGTCTATGCTAAAGGAGTAATAAAATACATGATTCACAGGTTGTATTACTCTTGCCAGGGGCTTTGGAGTTTTAATGGTTCAGGGAGTATATGTTACTTCTGATCCTGCAACCTCGTTCCCCAATCCTTTTAGGTACGCTAGGATGTCCAGTATAAACTGCATTCAGTTAAAGCTTTTTTTTTTTAGGTCAGGTGCAATACATGTGTTAGGATGTTGCTCATCAGCAAAAATGAATATGCCATTAAGCTGCATGAAATGTATTGAGGGCTTAGTCCTACCAAACACTGGCAGGCTCTGTGCTCCAGGGCCTCTGCAACTCGTAGGATTCAGCCCTTGGTAATACAAAGTATGATTATCTCTAGTACTCTGAAGATCTGGATTTCCATATCAAGTTCTGACTCAAGTGCTCAGTAATATTAGGAAACTTCCATTCTTATTACAATATGAATCTGAGTATAACTAGAGTAATAGACAGTAAGGCTCCATTGTAGGTTAACATCTTGTACCCTGTACCACATAATGGAAAGCTTCAATTCCACTTCATATTTCGCTGTAGGTATGAAGTATAATAGGTCTTAGTTGGTGGGATACTAAGCAGTAGATTCTTAACACAGTTTAAAATCAGCTTTCACATGGCTTTCTAGTCATTTACTAGATAGCCCATTGAAAGATTTTATAATATTTTTCTTAGCCAGAGTTAGATCACGTGTTCCAAAGGTCTCCTGGAAAGAGAGATGTCGAGGAGCTCAACATACATTCTAATGCATCTTGATTTCAGAGGTACAGTTTGCTTACGTTGCATGTTGATTAAAATGGTGTCTGTGGTGTCTCCTTAGCAGTCCGCATTGTTTTGATTGTTCATAAGGTTTCATATTTTATGTTAGTGTCAGTATAGTGCATATAAACTTAAATTTCTGAATTATCATACTGAATCATGCCACTGAATTGTATTAGACATGATGGAATTTGTTCCCATAAATTTGGGTGGAGGTTGGTAGATGGTAGAAGTCTTGCTTTGCATTCACAAGCTGCACATATTGCAGTCTGAACGTGTGTTACATTGTAGAATTCAGCCTCCTTGCCAATTAGGACCTAATCCAAGAAGTCACTGAAATCAGTAGCAGTCTTTCCACTGATTTCAGAAGCTTTGGATTGTACCTTTCGTGGCTTACCTAATGTTAGTGTGTTAAAAGGATCCAGTATTAATACTGCGTTTTTCACTCTGTGGGGTTTTACATTTTACCTGGTTACATACTGAGCTGAAATAGTTTTAGAAAATGCAACCAGACCTTCCAACTGCTGTCAGCAAATCCCCATACAAGAGGAAGTTTCTCCTGTTTTGCAGTGTGACATCAGTACACACATGTTGTCCAAATTATTGGAGTCCTCCTTGATAGAGCAAAAACTTTGTAGCACTAAAGAAAAGAGGTGAGAACTAGAATAAGCATAGGGATGGCTGTGATGTTTCTAGGACTTTGGTGCTTCTCTGCAGCCATCTGTTTTGAAGTATGAGTGTTAACTCTGCGTTTTGATCATGAGAATCTCAAATGACACAGTGAATAGAAGAGGACCCTTTGATAGAATTACAAATAATGTGTAAGTACTAAGGACTTAATATTTTTACACTGTCAAAAAGACTGAGCTGATTTTTTAATACATTGAAAGTATTTTGAGAGTCAGTTTTGCAAACTACCCTCTCTGCCTGTTCACAGATGAACACTTTTTCCAAAGTTAGAGTTTATGCCACTTATTTGTGCATCCCGATAGCCGAAATGTCTTGCTGTCTTCCTTGCACAAAAGCACATTTTTACAACAGGGACAACTCCAGAAAAGCAATACTGGGGAAAAGGACGAATGTACCACTTTGGTATGTCCCCTTTCATATGCTTGCTTTATCTTTCTCCATACAGTATTTTCTTGTTTCTCTTCCCATGGAAGGAGATGATAGAGGAGGGAAAAATCCCACTCGCTTTTCTGTTAGGATCCCAGATTTTCCATGTTTTGATAGAAATTACTGAGAAATCATTGTTTCCTCAAGCAGAAAGGTTGCTCTGCCTGAAATAATGAGCTTTTTTTCTCTTTATCCACGTGTCCCTCTGTATTTGGTGTTTTTTAAACATTCCAGCAGTAAAATGCTTGCATTCTCCTGTGAACTCTTCCTCCTTAAGATGTAACTGTAAAGAATGTACAACCAGCCCTCGTTTGCATTTAATAAGTCTGTAGACTTTGTATCTCGAACTTGAATGTAGTTTTCTGTAGTTTGTCATTGTAAATGAGAGAAACGCATTATTACCTTTGTAGTTAATCGACTGTACATGCTGTAAGGATTGTAAATACCGTATAGATTAAACCTTTGTATGCTGTCAACGGCCTCGCTGCGGGGCGGGCGCGGGGCGGGCG